CCCCGGCGGCGGCGGCGGCGGCAGCAGCTGGCCGCTGGACGACCCTCTCCCCATCGTCCGGCTGTTATGATCTGCCGCGAGAGCTTCGGCGGCGTCGCCGCCATTGGTCGGGGACCCCGTTGGTGGCGCCGTGTGGTTCAAGCCATCGTCTTCGTCATCATCTTCATCTGAACGACGTGCCGTGACAAAGGCCGTACGTGCATCGAGGGTGTATTTTATTTTGCTGTGGCTGGCGCCACGCGCTTTGCGTGAGCTATACATGCAGCGCTGAGGATTCACGTTTTGCCAGGAGCACCCCAGCGGCAAACAAAAAAACAAGCAACTATGAACTATCATGCTGACCTACGGACCTCTCCTGCCCAAGTTACGTGTGAGAGATGCAGCAAGCACAGAATAGGCGTCTTGCCCCGGATCGAAGGTCATGCTTCACGAACTCCTTGCTGCTGTGCTGACATATCAGCGGCACTGCTGAGTTGTTACAAAAAACGTATCCTTTGCTCGAAAGTGGGCTGTCGCCATATCATACGCGAGGCCGTTGTCCTACCTCCACACTGCGCACTGAACGCCCGCCCACCACTGCTGTACGGTAGGGGTCTCGGTTTTGCGACCCCCTGTTTAGAGGCATACCCTTTTCGCGACCACAAAATCACGTGGCACCGCCGCACCCCGGTAGTAAAACTACTATACATTTGTTACAATTGTTTGTTCGGTTTAGCGACCTGCCTTGAATAGCGGCCACATTTCGTCGTGACACTAGGGACCGCGAAACCGGGCCCACCACTGCTCTATTATTCAATTCATCAAGTCCATGAAGAAAAACCCTGAAAAAAAGGTCTTGTCTGCACGTGCAATTTACTAGTAGGACTTACCCAGGTCATCGTCAAGGTCGGAACCATGCTGGTGTCCACTGTCCTCCCTCAAAATCGCCTGGAAGAGCAGCATGACAAAAAAAAAACAGCGGTAAGAGTCCAGGCAAAAAGAAGCGCGCGTGAAGAGGAGCAAATAACAAGAGGCGGACCGCCAGATGGCTGAAACGAGCAATACTAGACTTGAGACCTGATGCTCACACCGCTACAGCAGTACTACTGTAGTGATGGTGAGATTTTGTAAACGCCGTCGGAGCGAGTCGGTCAAAAAGGTTCGAGCGGTCATGCGGGTCCATGCTCGCAACTGGCTGCAGAAACGGGTCGGAGACTACTTAAGCACGGGTGCGTAGCCGGACACGCCAGCGGAGATCGCCCAAGTGTTCTGTCCTGCATGATGATCCAAACAGACGGGGAACACATGTCTCCAACGTTCCGAGTAACGTTCCTGATTATTACACGCGGGTGTGTCCGCGTTACCATGTTCCCTCGAAATAAAGAAAACCTTGACACTAACCGAAACCACAAGGCACCTTGGATTCAATCCTCTAGACCAATGCTGCCGTTTCCTCCGCTAGTCGCTGCAACCGTGTTGAGCCGCACCTTAATGCCGACCTTGAACGCTCGGTCGCCGAACGCACGGGACACCGCCAGCTCGCCCATGACCCGCCTTTGGATCACCATTCCCCCGGCGCGCTTGATCCGCTCCGTCTCGTCCTCGCGTGAAGGTTTGTGGTCCTGCCAACAGACAACACAATTATTAAACACGACACAGCACGTGCCAGACCCGGTGAAAAACGGAAGAGGGTTTCCACCGCGTTGCCGGAGACGACATGGTGTTATGGACCAAAGGGTGCGGGGGGCTGACCCGTGGCAGACGAAACGATATTGTTTCCACCTCTCCTGACGCGTTGAGACGTGGAAACACCAAACGAAACTGGTAAAAGGAGAGCAAACGCCAATGCTGTCGCCCTCAACCCCAGGAGATGCTCTCCCGGAAAAACTGCCTGTCGCCAATCATGCAGTCTACAATGACGAGGTTCGAATACCAAAAAAGCATGAGTTCTTATTGGTAGAAGATGTTATCCAACACCAAGAATAACGCCTTGCGTGAGTTTCCGCATAGATCGATTTTAATCTCTCTGACTTCGAAAAACGTAAGGTTTCTATCAGAAAAAATCGAAATCATTCTCGTTTATTGCCTGGCCAACAGCAGTGCAAACTTCAGTTTTCGGTTCTTCCGACATTGATTCCTCCAGCATCGTCTAGTGCGCCGCCTAAGCCCCCAATCCCGGCTCCTCGCACCTTGGACACGACCTCCGCACGGCCGGCGCGGCACAAGATGGTTCGGCTGTCCCCGACGTTGAAGCCGTAGAACCGATCGCCCAGCACCATCGCAGTCGTGGCGGTGCTGCCGCTCGAGGGCTTGCTGGCGGTCGTCAGAAACTCCTCATCCGTGGCCAAGAAGGCTGCGGTCACCACGTCCTCGATCACCCTATAATAGAGCACACAACACCGGGGGGGGGGAGGGGGTTGTCGCGCGGGAAACGACGACGACAAGGTTAAGTCAAGGACCATGACAGGTAACAAATACCACAACAGTAACGGGCCAGGAGGTAAGAAACTTGAGTTAGGGAGTTTCAAGGCAACAGATGCAGCAGCAGGGGGCCCGGAGATACGAAAGGTCAGTATCGGGTCGAGGTCCAATTTCTTGAGTATTTTGGTCGCCACCATCGTGTAACCTCTAACTTCCAAGTAGAGGTTAGAGGAGGACTCTCGGCTGAGCTAAATAGCTGTGTTTCTTTGCCCAATTGTCTCAATTTTAGTGTGAACATCAACTGCATTATTCCCACGTAGGCGAGGCCGCCGCCGCAAAAGGTACCAGTTTTGTGACCCCAAATGCCAGCGCGTACGCTTCACGGGTCGCAAAACAAGCAAGGCCGCACAATCCAATAACGCCTCGACCATCTGGCTCGTGATCGCCACGTGACAGCAGCACAACACGCTTGACAACAAGTCACTGCTTGCAAACGGCGACGGCAACATACGCCCACGCGGCCTCCCGCCAGGGTGGTCGTCGCCACTCGGTCAATCGCAAGCCGCAAGCTGATTTTCGCCCGGCCCCACCTACCGCCCCCCCCCCTGCCGCCGCCGCCGCCTCACCTGTCTACAGCCGTCGGCGCTTTCTGCTTAGCCATGCCCTCGCGGGCGACGGCTCCGCCCCCTCCTTCCGCCGGCAGCCCCGCCGATGCCAGCGGCCTCGAGGGCCCGCCCCCCGGGCTCTGCGAGCCGCTTTGTCTCCCGCTCCCGGAGGGCAGCGGGGGCTTCGAAGCCACCCCGAACGTTTCTTCTTCGCCACCCGCCCCGCCATCCGCTTCTTGCCGCCGGGGATCCTCCGCCTGCCTGCCGCCGGCCGTCTCCGTGCACACTCCGCTAGCGGCGTCGCCGCCGGCCGCGGCGGCAGCCTCGCCGTCAGAGCCGGTGTCCGAAGCCGCACCGCTTCTCGGCGGAGCGTCGTGTTGCGGACCCTCCTCCTCTACCCCCGTGGGGGCGGCAGCGGCGGCGGCGGCCTCATCGCTACAGGCGGCGTTTGCAACCACCTCCCTCGCCCCGAAGAGCCACTCGGGAGGGAGGCTAGGCGCCGTGGACAACACCGGAGGTCTGCGCGGAGAGCTCTCGCCCGAATCCATGCAAGCCGGCGCCGTATCATAGCCCCACCGCAACTCGCTACGCCCCGCGACGCCTTCCCCAGACCGCGGCTCGTCCTCCGACCCAGCGCCTGACGACGCCGCCATCGCCAACGCGTGAAGCAAGGACTCCACGCTCGGGTTCGGCGGTGTCGGGCCGCCGTTGCTGCTCGAAAACACGGCGGAGGGCGTCCAGCCTCCTCCCGCCGGCGTGGTCGCGTCCCCGTCCCAGTCGTCGCAGCGCGTGGCTTGCCCGCCGCCGCCGCTGCTGCCGAACGTGGCCAGGCGCTCGGCGGCGCGGTCCTGCTGCAGAGCTTCCTCGATACGTGAGGTAGAGTCCTCCAGCGCTTCCGCTATCGCCACGTGCAGCCGCTGCCACAGGAAGGTGCTCGCCTCCCCTCCCCCGTTTCCGTCGTCCACGGCGAGGAACTTCTGGGGTCCCAGGCCGAGCGACGTGAGGGACTCCCCCCCCATTTCCTGCGGCCCCCGGATGAGCGTAGGGGAGGATAAGGAGGGGTCGGAGACGGACCAAGAGACCGCGGTTGTATTCAGAGAGTTTTTTCCCCCACGTTATTCCACCATTCCCACTCAACCCGTGTTGAAGGAGATGCTGCAATTGTCCCAAAATACAGAGACGTTTTTTTGCTGCCCCCCCCCTCCCCCCCCCCCCTCCCCCCTCCGAGCTGATACCCAATGTACCGAGGCGTTCGTAGTTGCCCACAAGGCGATACTGCTGCCGCGCCTCGGTCGAATCATCACCTGAATGACGACGCTTTTGTCCTCCATCGATCTCCGCGCGCCCCGGTCCTCCCAAACGCCCCAGTCGTAGCGGTTGATGCTGAAACCCGTGCGACCGATCAGGATGTGATCGCTCAGCTCCAAGCGCCGGCTATTCGCATACGGTCCCACCAGCTGCCAACGACAATAATAACGCGGGTGTTCCATAGAGGCAAGAGGGGTAAGGGGGACAAAATAATAAACGTTCCAACGAGGAGGTGAGACAAAACATGTCTGCAATATCGTCAGCTCCAGCAAATGCACCCGCCAGCCCACAACTCCATTTAATGCACAGTGACTGCGTACAGATTGTAAAGTTTTTTCTCGCTGACGTCTTGAGTCAGAAGTGTTGGCTGTCAGATTTCCGAACTGCAATTTCATCTAATGTATCTCCCCTCGAAGACACTGGTGCGCTTCCATGAGTCCACTCCGGGGGGGCACTCTTGCCCATGCATGTATCGACACGAAAACAAAATCCCTGGCTGTGTCGCCCAGGTGTCAGAATGGGGTTTTGAGTCGTTTGGGGGTCGCCTATGGAGTGCGCGCGAGCTGGATTTTCGAGTACCCACTTTGTCTGGGAATGGCATGGGTATACCTACTTTTGTCCATTCCCCAAAAAAATCACAAGCAACGACTACACGGGAGAAAAAACCTAACACGGGGTCTTTTCGTCACCCATCTCAACTTCCACGAAACGAAAAAATCGCTCGAACCTGTACGTAAGTCCCGTTGGTGCTGCCCACGTCGCAGAGGTAGTACTCCATCCGCCCCCCTCCGGCCTCTCCCTGCCCGCTGCTGCCGTCAACGCTCTCCGCGGTGGAGAGGTCTAGCGTACCGTCCTTCTTCGCGTCAGCCGAGTGGCGGTCGTCTCCTCCTCCGGCATCGGCGCCGCCGTCGCCGCTGCTTGCCCACCCGAAGGAGCTAAGGCTTTGGCTGTTGTCATCGCACTCAATGGTGCTGTGGTTTCGCGAAAGCTCTCGGTCGGCGATGCTGTCGAGTCGTGTGCGGTGGGGAGAAACGAGATTACAGCGCGTTCAGGGTGTGTGTGTGTGTGGGGGGGGGTTACTCATAGTCGTGCATGCCGTAGTCGTTTGACCATTGACCTAGAGGGAGGGGGGTATGACAACCAATGGAAGAGAGAGCAGACGAGCAGGACAAAAAACGGTACACACTGCACCACATCAACAAAAAGTACTACTGACATCAGTCTAGCAAACAACAACGAGCACGGAAAACAGAGTAGTCTTCCCCCATCACATGCTACACGTGCCGACGCGCTGCGAACAGGATACGCCAACCAATACATACCTGATGGTGCTTTCTGTGGCGCGGCCGATGTTGGCACCATCCTTCTGAACTCGCCGCTTTTGCCCCTTCAGGGGACCGGCAACTATCTCCAGCAGCATGCCCTTATCCTCGTCGATCTCCCTGCAACATTTGGGACAAAAGGTGGGAGGGAGATCAGGACATGGCAGCAAACACTTGGACACACCGACTATACGTATCCAGGATAAGTTCTCGCACCGTAGGTTGCACAAGATACCGCACCCCCGACATCGATGTTCAAAGCTCGACTGTGTACGCCCACGACGAAGAGGGTGGCCGAAATCAAATGATATTCATTCCCACTTGTTCCTGCTGTGCCAAGCCCGCCACAACAAGCAAACGAAAACTTCCCCCCTTGGTACAACAGAGATACATCACACGGAATGCGAAAATACAAAAAAACACAAAACACCAATCACCTTCGTGTACAAGATATAAACATGCAACATGCAAAACCGGAAATACGCTACCACTACAACACCAACACCTCTCACGCGGTATGGAAGACGCGGTGTACCTCGGGATGAAAGAGAATACATCACACGGAAGACGAAAATACCGAAAACACAAAACACAAAACACAATACACCAATCACCTTCGTGTACAAGATATAAACATGCACCATGCAACCGAAAATACACCACTACCCTACAACACCAACAGCTCTCACGTGGTATGGAAGACGCGGTTGCCTCGGTATGAAAGATAATACATCATACGGAAGACGAAAATACACTACCACCAACAGCTCTCACGTGGTATGGAAAACGCTGTTGCCCGCCGAGAACATAGCCCCCTGGTCAAGGGGCCAGTCTCGCACCCCCCTCCCCGTTCCGATCCGCACAGACGCCCCGTACGGGAGGCCCCTATCCTCAACGTGGAACGCGCCCTCCCGCCACACAATGCTCGCGTGCTCCGACTCGCCCATACACGAGTCGTTCGGGATGCAGATGTCGTTGCAGGACCCACGCCCCACGGTCGCCCCTCCCCTCTTCACCGTGAAGCTAGACGCCTCGTTCCCGTCGGCGACCGTGGTGAACTTGAGGATGACTTCCGAGAGAGACCCCGGAGCGGAGGGGGCCGCGCCCGCCGGCGGTCCTGCTGGAAAATTCGTAGTAAGCGCCCGCGCTTAGGTACCTCTTGTTTTGGTCGAGGCTTTGAATGTGCTACAAACGCCCGCTACCATAGTGTATGGGTTCTTAGTTCCTCTTGTGGGCTACAGATGGCCGCTATATATAATTAGGTTTAAGTACATTCTTAACCGGGCTCACCAGTGGTTTATGAGTTTTTCGAGGATCGTTTCCAGAATTGCCCGAGTGCGGGGGTTAACCGCTGTAGCACAGCAGCAGCAGCGGTTTTGCAAAACACGCAAAAGATATGCGTGCACACACGCGAAACTCTCAAGAGTGCTGGGTGCCAGGTACATATACGGCCAGCCTTAGCACTATGCCGCCGAATACAGCGACCACCCCACCCCCACGGCTGTAAACAAAATAAGACCTCCCTCACCCGCAGCGTCGCAACACTGCTGCTGTTCGGCGATCCCGCTATCCTCGAACCCTCCTCCTCCTCCTCCCCCTTGCTCCACGCCTTCCATCGCATCACAATCTTCCCCCACCGACAAGACCTCCTCCTGCTCCTCCTCTTCCTCCTCCTCCTCCATTGCCGCCGCTGGCGGTGGAGGCAAGGGGCTGTCCTTCTGCGTCCCCCCCTCGAGTACGCCCTCGCTGGAGCGATTCAAGTCGCCCACGAAATCCTCTAGCTCCGACATTGAACTCGCCCCCGCACCATCCTGGGCACGAATGAGAGGACGCAAACATTTTCAGGGGTCAAACAACATTTCACGTGTTCGCGACAAGGGTGGCAATCGGGACCTATTTTCTAGTCTAAATAAATCCAAGATAGTCGGAGTACATAGGTGGCAATTGGGTCCTAGTCTAGAAAATGAGGGACAAGAGCCAAAACGTCCGTCCGGCCGGCCGTAGGGACCTCGACCTCAAAACCCTTTTATCTCGGTAGAGGGAGGACGCCATGAACCAGCGACAACGCACGCTAAGGTCTGCTGATGGGGCTGCTGTGACGTCGTTCAAGAGGCTGCATCGAGGTCCAAAAACTCCGCAAATCTGGACTCTAACCACAACGCACGCCACTGCTGTACTCGCCACCACAACCCCCTATCCCCCGCACTGCGGCGGGTCGTCCATGGCAGCCAAAATGTGCTACTGATGTATGTGCACCCGGAGACTGAGTCTGCCTGTGACGACGGCATGAAATAGCAGCAAAGTAGATGGAGTACGACGATACACGTATGGACTCGGATCTGCGGACTCTTCGGCCCGCGGCTGCAACCCTCCACCAGGCGGCCCCGCCAACAACAGATCTGGGCATGCCAGCCAGCGCGGGTTTCGCTGCTGCATCACGTCCTCAGCGGGTATACCGGCTACAGCAGTCAGGGCTCCTACCACCTGAAAGAATCTGCTTGAGCAACTGCCGTATCGCCTGCTTCGCCTTGAAAAATTAGACTGTTTGTGGAGTAATTTTGTGTAGTTCGAGAGAAGGTGTGCGGAGGTAGTCTCCGTCAGGTGTGCTGGTGGAGACAAAAGCTCCAACCGCTGGCTGCTCCGCGCAACAAACAACGAGCTGATTTCTTGCTGCGCACCACCACCTGGTCCAACGTGTCTCGCGTGTGAAACAGCCGGGTGCGCTCTCGTGGGTTTTCAAGAAATAGTCAAATATTAAGATCGACCGGGTGGAAGCGCCGTTATGAACAACGTCGGCGGCAAAGCTTCGAAAGACGAGAAGGGCTGCGGGAGGTAGAACCCGTGCCTGGGCTTGCAAACACTCGTGCCGTGGAGGATATTGATTGCCCCCCTCCCAACGTACCTATCCCATTGAAGATGTAGGGGTCGGAACAGCAAGAAATAACCCACGGCTGTGTGCTCGACGTGGCTTTTGCCTGAGGCCGGCATTCGATACACACGCGGGATCTCCCTTGGCTATCACGAAGAAACGCGCACACGTAAGCATACACCCCCCACCGACAGGTCACTCCCCAACAGCAACACAAGCCAGGCCCTCGCCACCCACCTTCCCCATGGTGCTCTTTACCCTGCGCTTGAGCTCTTCGAAGCTCGCCTGATCTAGCGGTTGGCCGATGGATCTATACAGCTCTACCACTGGGTGTGAATACGACCCCGCCGCCGCACCGCCACCGCCACCGCCACCGCCCCCACCCCCAGCTGGATCTGCCGTGAGGGCGTCGCCGCTATGTTGACCTTTGTCGGCGGCGGTTAAGGTGTCGGCGGCGTTCGCCGTCGCCAACTGCCGTGATCCTGACACCGGACTGTCCGGCATGTCGACGTCGGCGCCTTCCGGCATGGACGACGACGACGTTGATTGGTTGACGGCTGCCTCTAGTAGCTCCCTCAGCTCTTGCTCCTGCGAAACGACGGGCATGCGTGGGTGCGGCAGGGTGCTGTCGGTCGTGGAGGGAACGCTCCTCGCAGTGGTGGGGCATTCGGCACGGCTACTTGAGTGATGGCGAGAAGAGCAGGCTCCGTGTATGGCATCGAAAATGCTGGTATCCATAGAAAAGAAGCTACCCACCATAGTGCGTACTTGGAACATGTCGACTTCGTCACCACAACTGCATATCACTGCACTCCCAGACCAAGAGTTAGTCCGGAAACATCGCAGAACCCGCGATGTGACTGGGTTCAACTATGCATACAACAGCAGGATCCCTCAAGAGAGAGAATGATTTTTCAACTGAAACTCCGGCAAGCTGCACTCCCCGTCCCGTCGGAATCGCGGCCGAACATTGAACATTCTGAAACGTGCCGAAAAACGATCATGAAAACCGAAAGCTTAGGCGAACCGCAACCGAAGTTCCCAACGGTTGGTCATACAACACTCGGATGAGGGCAAAAACAGTCGTTTGGACGCAGTCGCCAAACATGCACGAGAGAGAGAGCATGCACGCTGGCACACCACACATAGTGGGCTCCCCTGCCAACGCGCGAGGACACAGCATGTTCGTCTCGGATGCTGACCAACACACAACAGCAGCAGCGTGACTAGCAGCAGCAGCAGCAGCAGCAGCAGCAGCGGCGGCGGTGCCGGCAGCAGCCAACAGCGCCTCAACGATGTAAACCAACCTCTCAACAAGTACCGCTCCTCTTTTGTTTTGCCACGCTCAAACAGTCCCCCTGTGGCGCGCGGCTACGGCGAGGCCATCCCAATCCCCACTCGGATCCCGAGACGAGTTTGTGAATCTTTTGTGGCAAACACCCCTTGTGTACATATTGCATCCTTCGAAAAACACATCACATGTGCATACGCACGCATACTCGGTACAACATTTTACCCTCTGCTATCTAGCCGCAAGCCCACGTCAGGGCGGGACTGCCATCACTGCTAACTCTTGACTTCAAGTTCACCGAAAGGTCTGGCTGCGGAACGAAGGCGTAAGGAAACACCACACTTTTTGTTGCTCCGAGAGCTGTGAGTGTCTTCCCGGCCTAACTCTTGGGACCGGGGGCCACGTCTCCGCGCGAAATTCCGGTGGTTGCAACAACGGTTCTCAGCGACTCGCGTGGTGAGGTTTGGCACTGTGTTCCCTCCTGTGTGGCTCTCTCTGCTCGTCCTGATCGTGTCACTGAGACCTAGGCAACTGCTGGCGGACGGCCCAAGGAAGCAGTACTAGCAGTACTTGAGTCACTCGTGTGCGTGGCCCTTCACCCATGGGTTTTTACTAACCTTAACAAAAACAAATTCCATCTCTTTTCACAGATGAACGGTCCGGGGATACATGAGCACTGAAGCACAGCAGCGTATCTAGACTACCAGTGTCTTCACTGATACTCATCTCCAAGAATAATACTATCAACATAAGTCATCTCCATGTTTCACCTCCTTCAGATTGATATCTAGATGCGGCAAATGTGCTGGACGACAGTGTTGCCGCCTTCCGAGTCTGCCAAGGTTTCATCCAGAGGGACTTCACGCTTGTAAAGAGGAGTATGCGTGGTTATTCGGCGCATATTACTGCTGCACGCACGCATCTGCCATGCTATGCATGCAGCAGTATATACCGACGACCGCAAGCAGCATACACCAACGGAAGCGTAGAGAGAAGGTAGGAAACGCTGCGGTACCGTAGCCAATAAATCGAGCTCAAATCCATACGTGTTAAAATGCTGACTTGATGCCCCTACGACACCACAAGACGGAACGGGGTGCATCGCGGCTCGGCCGTATGCTGCTCACCCTGCAGGTCTAGAAGCACAGGTGCAACGCACTTCATGCCACACGCGACCAGCCATAGCCGACTCTCGCCTGGTTGACGGTTCTTGCACAAATGTTTTGTTGTACCGGATATCCGTTACTATCGTCAGCTACAGACGTACCACAAAAAACACCGGCCACAAGAACCCACATCCGCGTTCGATAGAATTCAATAAGCCCACCCTGCAGAGGACAACGATAAACTTTCCCCGTCCCCACCGAGCATCGCAAAGCACAACCCCTCTGACCCGATACACAGGCGTCGTATACTACCCTGATGCGCAAAGCTGAAAATGGGATGGGTCTATCTACGCAGCAGCAGCGCCATGATTGGATGAATCGGGCATCATGACCACGCTGCAGCTGTTTTTTCCATCAAACGCTTGAATGCTACTGAGGACTCCCACATCTAGTCCCCCCAAAACAACCGTCATATGCTAGTCCCCCGGAATCGGAGTGGGCACGTCTGGCATTGAAAGAGTGGCCAGCGACCTCCCGTGCAGTCATCCACAGACCTGACGGCAATATTCAACTCATTTGTATGTATTGTATTGCTCTTTCGCTGCCATGCTCGGAAGGGCCTCTTTCGTTTTTATTATTACTCCGAAAATATCTCTTCTTTTTATGTACTCCGTAAACCTGAAAAGCTGAAAATGCAATAGGTATTCCTTCATACAGGGACCCGCGATGGTCATGTTGCCTGAGCAATTTTTGTACTCAAACCATGAGGACTTGCGAGTTGAGTTGAAAAGTGGAGCAGAAAATGTCGCTGTTTCTCACCTCTCACGTACACATTCGGTGTTCGGTGTTCTTGAGTGAAACATGCGCATGCATCATACTCGCAAAGGTTGAAAAGCCCTCTAAAATGGCTGTTTCTATCTGATGTTCTGCTTTTTGCTTGCTTTCCGGGAGTTCGACAACCACAGACGGCTCCTTGCTGCTCCCACGTACGTTGTGCTTGCTTTCGGGAGTTCGACAACCACACACGGCTCCTTGCTGCTCCGACGTACGTTGTGCTTGCTTTCGGGAGTTCGACCACACACGCTCCTTGCTGCTCCTACCGCTACTTGTGAAGTACTTAATAATTATTCCTTTAGAGACAGGAGGAACGCCGATCGCATGTAAGGCAGTGACAGCTTTGGGTGCTCCTTCATGCGTACAAGCCAATGCGTACTGTACATGTAGGATGCAAAAAAGAAAGGTATTAAAAAGGGTGTCACACACAAAACGCCCGACCAGTACCTAACACATATCATCTGCACCTTCCCAACATAACATATATGAGACACACAAGACAGCTACCAAACTGTCTTGTTGAGCCTGTTACCCGCAGGGGAGATGTCCCTATATGCTGTCTGGGAAATCGTAGACATACAGGTACTTTCTGACGCTATGAATCCATAGCTAATCTGTCTCAGACTCTTTTTCTATGATAGAGATGGTTTCGTTGTGTCATATTAAGAAAAAAAAAAAAAAGTCTCGCCGGGTGCTTCACACGTGACGCAACGACTCTTTTGTTCGTTCTTTCTTTCCTTTCTTTTTCCTGGGCTGCCGGAAGCGGCTCTTTCGCGCTTATGTACCGCGGCACCGCGGCAGAGTCAAATCCGGTGACTTTCACAAAAAATAAGGAACGAGAACAAAATTATATGACATGCCCCAAAACGAGAGGACATACCGCTCGTGCTCAATCGACACTATCCATTACCATATCCAGACGCCCTGTTCCCACACCGAATGTATAATTCAGCCTAACAGCTGGTCGACTGCGAGACTAGTCATCAGCGGCATTATCTCTGATACTTGAAGGTACAGTGTGTTGCTTTTCAGAGCCTCTCTCCATGGTTGACCTTTTCCCTTTTGATTTTCTGCCCCCAAGAAATCTTGCTGGGTCACCTACCTACCTCTCCCTCCTCGACGTGCACCAGGGCATCGAGCGAAGGAAGTCCTACGGAGTGGCGTCTGCGCTATGGGGCTGCACAGCAGCAGATGCACGGCCTTAAGCAGACCAGCGTGCAAATGCGCCAGTAAAGGCTAACCGACAGACCGCGTGCATGCGCGGAGTCCAAAATCAACCTCCACCGAACCACCGAACGGAAAATTCAGGGAGCAGTGGCCATCACGACATCATCATCAACCCCTTCATGTACGAGAGAACAATGAGCGAGCAGCAATAATATTTTGTCGGTGACGCGTGCCTAAGCCTAAAAGGGGGGAAATCGGAGTGGACGCCTCTTGAGGCTCCCGTACCAGCGACAAGAAAAAAGAGGTCAACAACGTAACGTGCATACCTGAAGCGTTCTCCGCGACCTTGTTCCAGATCTCCGTTCACCGTAGGAGCGAGCCTGCTGCTGCTGCTGTACGTCCGCGCTGCCGCTGATCTGGTTATTTTTCCGCCGGACAGCAGTTGTTGTGCTACCGCTGTTGTTGTCACAGCCGTCCTTCTCTGATGCAAACGTCCCCGCAGAGCCGGTAGGGGGAGGCATGAGGCACGCCGGTGCGCTCATGAAATCTCGAAAGCTGCCGCTGCTGCTGCCGCCGCCGCCGCCGTCGCTCTCTTCGGCGTGGTGGCACGGGGTTGCCAAGCTGGGTGATGATGCGGAAATTTGATGCATGTTCGCCGAAGGTCTGGTAGGACGATGATACTGCAGACGACTCCTCGTTCACGCCCACGAGATCGTTTGCAACCCCTTCGCCGTGTGCTTTTGTAAGAGGCCCTCCAAACGCCACCTGGGGCTTCGTATTCCTGGCCGCCGCTGCTGGTGCTGCTGCTGGTGTGTGCATCAAAAACGGGATCCAGCAGATTTTTCACGCAAGAGACGATATTGCACAACGCGGTTGCAGTGAGAGGGGCGCTAGTCTACAAAAATAGCAGGTTCGTGACCGAGTCTGCAGGAGGACATCGCTGAGAAGGCTGGGGGGGGACCATCAATACACCAACGGTACAACACTTCCCACCGCGCCGTTCCCTCACCTGCCGAAGCCATACAGTAGCTCGGAACTCAACAGATATATGTGTTCCTCTCACACACACGAGCCCAGTAGCCAGTAGCTCACCTCTATGGTGTGTATCACATGGTATGTACCCAAGATGCCCTCTCTGTTTCTCTAGAACAACTGAACACACGTTCACCGGTGGAAGATAGGAAAGCGTAAAGCACCCCCCCACACGTTCTCCGTACCTCTCTTATCTATCTCTCCCCCCCTGTACTCACCGTCACTCCTCGCTCTCGTCCTCTAAAGGTGGGTAGTCACGACTCGTGATACTGGGGTTGTCTCTCGATTGTAAACGGGGTTTACGCAGGCGTTTCTTCGTGGGGGGGGGGACAGGGGACACCACGAAGGTCAGTAGAAGGCAACCTTAGGCCCCTTCTATACTACGTGCTGTACACGGCTGTTGTTTGGGATACAAGGGCCTACCGATAACGATACTTGCCGGTGGAGTTGGTCCCGAAAATATGGAGGTGAGAGCTGGCGTTGTTTGGGAGGAGGAAGCGAGAGAGTCTCTGTCTTTTTTGGTCGCAGGGAAAAAGCGGCAAGGAAAAAACGCTGCTCGAGTTTTGCACGAATAGAGCACGTGAGCGCAGCGGAGGCATGACACGTAAGAGAAGGTTGCTGTTCTTCTCTCTGTTCCAGCGTTGAACATCGCTGGCCCTCAGCTTGGCGTGGTACTTTTCGTCATGAGTACTGCGTCTAGAATGTCTTACCCCCACAGACTGCTGAACCACACGCTTGAACTCAGTACCGCAGTGTAAGAGAGTGTAGAGGCACCGCGGGATGATACGTAGAAGCGATACTGATAGAGACTACAATAATAGACTGCTGTATTCTGTAGGTGCACGGCGTAGAACCTCACGACCAAGCCGCTGCTACACGCCGTAGGCGTGAAACGCGCGCGTGTGGGGCTGACTCGTCGATTCGCAGAAGCCCGTCCGCAAATATTTTGAGCTTGCACGTCCCCTGGATTATAAAATGCGCTGCTGTATTCAGCTCTCCAAGTACATTCCCCGTCTTCGTCGACAAGACACGAGAGTTTGCAGACAAAGCGAAAGGGGATCAACCACCGTTGTAACGGACGAATCCATTTTGCTGTAGAGACGATGCAAGAACGTTCCTCTGAGGGAAGCCCGCTCAATAAGTTGACGGGATGTCCCCCCTCCCTCCCGTGGCTGTATTGTCGCCCATGGGATGGCCTTTTGGATGATGATGATTTGCCCCCCTGGCTTGGTGTGGTGTCACGGTTGTGGCGTACCACATCATGATGAAGGAAGCGGAAGAGAAGTCAGCAAGTGATCGCGATTCGTCGTACGTGGTGCAGCGGGGGGACACGCTGGCCGGGGTAGCGCTGAGGCTCGGCGTGAAGCAGTCGGAGCTGAAGCGCGCGAACAGCATGTTCGGGAGTCGAACTCTGGTCGCGGGACAGGTACTTGAATTGGCCCTATTAGGGTACTTCATGAAGGAGAGGGGAAAAGAGAGATACGGCTGCTGTTTACCCGAGAGGTATGTTGTCATGCGGAGGCATGTTGAAGAAAAAAGCAGCGTGTCTGTCAGCAGCAGCTCACCCAGTGAGTTGCCACCGAGCCTTCGTGTGTGCGGGTGGAGCAAGGGGGGATGGAGGGGGGTGGATAAAACCGACTCAAGTCTGGAGGAAGCGTGAGACGCACGCGGGCAGTTCGTATTTATGTATCGGAGAATGGCGACCGGGAACTTGAAATCACGGTGGAGGTGTTGTCTTCTCTGGCCCATAACTTGAACCGGTGCTATCGACGCTGCTGTGCCTGGGTTGTGTCCTACTGTAGGGAACTACCTATGTTTCCGCCTTGCAGGTGGCTTGTTGCTGCTGCCCTGAGTAGGGTGTCGTCCTTCATACGTATATATACGTACGGTATGGTCATTGCTGTTTGATCAACCCTGCAGGCTCATGTGTGACCAGACCATTTTTTGTTGTGTGCTGGGAAAGAGCCAGCGCGTACGTGAGGTGGTCTCCCAAACATGGGGCACAACGCTACAATACAGGGGGGGGCTGGATCATTTGTCACCGGCTCTAACACCATCCCTGCCGTTGTTTTTGCCGTTCGCTGCAAGAGTACGTACGTGCCAGTAGAATAGGTAGGGTTGCTGCTGTCGCTGAAAGACGCGTGCTGCTGTTGCGCTGCTGCCGTGTGCTTCCTCTAAAGCTCTAAAGAGTGACCGGGGCGACAGGGCATCGTCTCGCGGATATCAGAAAGAGTGCCACAGCCCGCTTGTTCGAAGGAGCTATGTGGGTTGGCTAGGCGTTCGACCGGATGAGGATGGACTCTCGCCTATAACTTTTGGTCGATATGTTGAACTTTTGGTCGATATGTTGGACGTAAGGGCAGCGCACGAAGCAGACGTACCCTGCTTTTTACTGTTTCAGCTGTGTTGTAGAACGAGAACACGCTTGTTGCGCGAGCTCCGGGTAGTTATGTCGGTAGAAACAAACCCTCACCGCGGACATTCTTGACATTTCAGGTCGACGGAAATCGCTTGTACATGTTACCTGACATTTCAAAAGTCGACGGAAATCGCTTGTACATACGTAACATTTACCGCATATGTACCTATGTACTGCCCCTCGCTCACGGGAACGTCGTCGAATCACTTTCTTCTTTTTTTTTCCCCGAACAGCCTTGTTCTGGTCTGCCCAGAGGTTGGGTTTTTTCTTTTCTGCAAGCTTATACTTCTCAAACTCACTCATATATGGCGTGATGTTCTCGCCTCCGCTCTAAATTCAATGTGGACGAGGGCGAGGACAAACATCCGGTTGTTTTAACTCCTACGATATTTATTTTTGTTGTAATCATATCCCCTCCATCCTATTATAGAACGCTAGCAAGTGAGTCCACAACATCATTGCCACCCGGCATTGTATCGCTGGCCGAGTTCTGCGATTCTCATTAATTAACTATCGGCATGTTTGTCGTTTATGCATACACGGGTTGTGGAGTAACCGGCACAAGTGCTGTGAGAGCTGACTTGAAGTGAAGACAAGAAAACAAAATATATATATATATAACGGCGAAAGAAAAGGTGTGGATGGACCTATGGTGCCAGTGCTAACAAACCTAAGCCCCCCCCCTGGCCTTGTGTGCAATGATGCTGAATTTCCTTCTTTTTCTCTCTCCAGGTGTTGAAGACAAGGGGACCGGTCAAATCCGCCAGCAAAGAAAAAATAGTCTACCCCGTCCCCGCCGAGCCGTTGCCGGCCGCTCAACGAAAATCGGGATCCGTGTCGGAAGCAGGGGCTGGAGCGGCGGCGGCGTCTGCGTTTGCGGTGGCCGTGACCGCGACGATGACCACGCCGGGAATAGCGCCGGCGGCAGCGGCAGCGGCAGAAGAAGACGGCATCCTCGTCGAGCCGCCAGAAGAAGAGGTCTGGTTCGAGGACAGCCGGGGCGGCCACGCGGGAGGCGCCGCCGATGGCACCGTCGCGGCGTCGTCGTCATCTTTGATGGCCCCCGTTGAGGAAGCCATGGTGCGATCGGCTGTGCCGGGCGAGCTCTTGTACGAGCCACCGCACTGGGGGGGTGCCGGCGGCGGCGGCGGCGGCGGCGGCGGGGGCGGCGCCGCGAGCCGCTCCCGGCAGGGTTCCGACGCATCGACCTCGGCGGCGGCTTCGGTCCGGGGAATGTTCAACTACATTCGGTCGAAGGCTGCGGCCGTCGTCACAACGCCCACGGCGAGCGATGCCGGCGGCGGCGGCGGCGGCGGCGATAGCTTCTTCGCGAGCAGCGGCGGCGGTAAAATCTCCCGACGTAACTCCAGACAATCGAACGGGGGCGGCGACACCGGGTCACACTACGCGAGCAGCGGCGGCGGTTGCTCGATGCCGTCGACGCCCGGATTTCCTTCGGTCGACGAGGGGCTAGCCCCCGCCGGCCTGCCGCCCGCGGAGATGTGGGCGGGCACGCGCGAAGACCCGGGGAACGCGGCAGCCTTTGCCGCGGCGCAATCGGCGGCGCGGGACGTGTCCGAGGTGGCGCAGTCGACCGCGCAGGCCTTCCTGTCCATGGTGAAGCCGAGCTACTGGAGATCGGACTCGGAGGGGGGAGGGGGCCCTGCGGGCGAGTCCCCGGTTGGGTTCGGCGATGGTCGGAGAGGGGAGCGGGGAGGTAGCGATCGGTGGGTTAGCGTGCCTGGCGGTGCTGGGTCCTTCGAGGAAACGGCTTCCAGTGGGCCGATCCTTCACTCTCTAGGTGAGTTGGCAGTGCTATGTCCTATTACATAGATTTTTTGCGCCCCTCAAACTGTACACTACGGAGTCTGTGCTGTGTTCCGACTTTCAACAGCAGTACCCCAGCGACGGGGTGAAGCTTCACGCGGAAACAGATTTTTCCTTGATGCTTCTGGTAGATACCATGGTATCATTCAATTTGTCCATGACCACACATTCCGCATTTAGTGTAATCGAACGTGTTCTTTTAACATTCCGTGATGGCTCTGTTCGTTGAGCAGTATATGACGAATAGGGTCAAGGTCAAGGCGGTCGCGTTTTCTTGGATGATCTTCGCACTTTATTACGGGTGTTCTCTGACTGTTTTGCCATCGTTTTTGTTTACTCATACGTTGTTCATTCCTCCTCGCCATGAAAAGAGGGGTGCGAGCTTACGATCTGGTGGACCATCAGTTCTACCGAATTGCTATTATAGATATTTCCCACGTCGCTCCCCCCCCCCTCCCTCCCGTCCCAACTGTCTAGTTTGACGAAGGCATATGCATAGCACCATGCTTCTCCACCATGTCTTGTGCAGGTTTTTAGTCGAGCACTTCCTAGCTCATCCAATTCGCGGTGGTAATTCGACAGATGACCCGTTACATGTGGTGTGTTTCGTGTTATGGCGCTGGTTGGTGTTCTTCATTTCGTTTCCAATACTGAATGCGGTCTTCTCTTGAAACCAAAAGGAGAACTAAACGTAGAATACAGCAGTCTTGCCCAAAAGCATGGTCCGCAGGAAGTGCGTCCCCATGGTTGGGGAATAAGCCTCCTGGTAGGGTGCATACAAGGGCCGTAGGTGACGTTTGGTATCACACCCATGGACCGAGTTTCAAAGCTCGACCATTCTCCACAGCACAACGAGCGGCGGTGCGCAAAATGACGGCGTTGGAACCATCTCATCGAAAAGCGAGAGCTTTCCGAAAACGTACTGAGTATCGTTTTATGTTTTTACCACATGCTCTTCGTCATATCTTTGAAGATCGATCTAGGGTGTGCGCTATCTTGCGTCATGTCACCCACGGTATGATGTCCCACGGAACGCCGCGGACACTCGGGGTCTTCGTGTTCGTCCCGCTCTTGATGGGAGCGTCGTCGTGTCACGTCGTGTCCCCTTGAAGTTTTGCGGTCGATGCTTACCCCGGACCCCCCGCCCCCCCTGGTTTGCCGGGATGCCCAATCAACTCTCATGGCATATAATTGGTTTGGCACAGCAAACACACGGGTAATGACCAGCTTCTGATCCACCCTAAAGCCTGGGCCGATGAAAACCAGGCATATCGCTCTGTCCAGACTTGCAGGGATGCTAGGTCAATGGTCTACGGACGACAGTTTACATGAGAGTGCCCCCCTCGGTACATTATTGAGTCACCTTGCGCAAAGTAGGAAGGAACGATTGGTCATCGGTAATCGGTCCTGTGGGAACAATTCTCCGTCCTCTCCAGGACTCGTGGTCAATGGCCTACCCGCTAAGGCATGCAAAACATAAGAGTACGCCCCCCCCCCTGGCACGCTCAATTTTTCGTGTTTGGGAACCGCAGCGGACGATGCGAGCTTGTTCCCAGGGGACCCCGGTGTACGGCCATCACCGCCGCCGGCAGAGGCACCCTTGCAACTCCCGGGGTTGGTGTGTGGGGGGAGCACGATCGTGACGCACACCACGTTGGCGCGGATGGAGGCTGCGCAGCCGAAGCACCACAGGGGCTACAACTGGTACCTCTTGTACAGCACCTTTAGGTGAGGAGGCATGCGGCTCGTTCGTGCTTTTGAGTTGGTTGTCTTGTTGGTCGGCTTCGACTGTGCTGTTGTTGGAAAGTATGGGTTGGGAGCGTATTTTTGACGATTGAACATGGAACGATACCTCTGTTATTTGCTGTATGTGTGCCGTTGTTGTTGCTGCTGCTGCTACTGCTGCCGGTCATGTTGCTGGTGGTTTTGCTGCTGTCGATGGTGCTAGTACCACCACCGGCATCGCCGCAGCAAGATGAGATACGTGATGTTGCTGTCGTCGCCTCCCTTTGCACTGAACCGGTCCAGCTTTTGCACGCATGTCTCGTCTTGACAAGTTCACGCCCGTAACTTTCAGCTCTAACTTTTTATATCCCTCTGTGACACCCAATACATCACCATCCAATAGTTGTATGATGGGGGTATGGAACGCGTGCTGACTGAAGGTGTGCAAAGCATCGAGTGCGCTTGTCGTGTTGATAAATCCAACAAGCAGTCTCCGGTTAAGCCTGTCTCGTTTCTTCCCCCCTCTTGTTTTTTACCACATTGAAAGCCCAAACCATCGTCATCAAAATGCCACACACTTAAATGTCGCACTCAAGCCAGTATCAAAAAGTACCACACACAAGTGGGTATCCGGAATCCCCCCCCCGCACTCGCCCGGTGCTCATTGACCATGTTGTTCTGCTACCGCTGCTACCGCTGCGGTCTATTGGTCAACATTGCTAAAACACGACAGAGACGGGGCAAGCTACACGACCTTGTACAACCGCATCCAGGGGGAGGAACCGACGTTTCTCATCGTGGAGAGCATGAGGGGGGAGGTTTTCGGGGGGTTCGCGACATCGGCGTGGTCCTCGGGTTGTCAGGTACCTACCTACCTAGGCGTTGCAGACGGCGGCGCTCTGTACCTGCTGCTGTTGGTGCTAATTGTGTGCGAAGCCGTGTTTTATCGCTCGTGTTACTTATGCTGCCTGCTTTTGCGGTTTTGGTTGAGGTTCGGACGTGTCGACCTATTGCAGGACAGTGCACCGCAGCGTGTGGTGTGTACCACGAAGGATTGTCTGGTGTCATGCCATGGTGCCCTTTACGCGTGTGTGTCCGATTTTGCCCCTCCCAGTATACCTCCCTACCCCCCCCCAACCCTGACTCAACCGTTTTTTGTGCGGCACCCGCTACAATATCCACCTCACTACTGTGAAAAGACCAACTCATCCACTTCGACTGCTGTGGTTCTATCTCGAACGCGTATTAGTCTGTGTTTGTATGTAAATTTTCTGCAAATAGCCACCTTGGGCCTCGCTGTTTCTCCACACGCACGGTTCGCAATTGCCTGGACTGCTTTTCTTTCTTCTGTCTTGTCAAGTACTACGGCACGGGGGAGTGCTTCCTGTTCAAGATGGAAGGAGAACGTGTAACCGTCGAGAGCGAAGAGGAACAAACCGAGAACGATTCCGATGACCGTTCCGCCGACGGCCGAACCGGCAGCAGTGAAACCGTCGCGGCATCGAAAACCCTGCTGGAAGGAGATTTGACTGCTTTCGGCTGGACGGGGATGAACATGTACCTCCAGTACAGCGACGGCAAGGGGATCGCGATGGGCGGGGGCGGCGCGGACGGCAGCTTTGGCCTCTTCATCGGGGAAGATTTCCTTACCGGCAGCACGGGAAAGTAAGTGTGTGTGTGCTTCCGAGCGTACCGCTTAGGTGTCAGAGAATATCACACACCCGTGACCGACTTTTCAACAAAAGTCTCGGGAATATTTCCTAACCGACTGGCAGCACGGGAAAGTTAGCACGTTGTGTGGGCGCTTCCAAGCGTACCTGTAGGTGACACAGGATACCACACACCTTTGAGAAAGTTTTCAAAGCTCCATTGCTTCACAGTGTGGGAACCGTCTTGTCGAGGGCTTTCCGAAAACATGTCGTTTGATGTGTGCATCCTGTTCGCTGGTGGTGGTTACGGATAAAAACCATACCATACCAGGTACACGACAATATAGGTCGCGTACTGACCATCTTTCGATATTGGTGCCGCGGGATGGCACGAAATCGTGTGCATCTAGTTCTTGTGGGTGCATGGCTTCAAGAACTTCAAAACAGAAAGCTCGAATCACCGGGCTGACGTTCCCTCGTGTTTCTATACCCCTGACCGTACTCATACCCTATCGTTATCCTAACTCTTAACAGATGCGACACGTACGGGAACCCGCCGCTCTGCTCTCAAGAGCAGTTCCAGGTTTCGCAAGTGGAGGTGCGTTTACCGTTTCGTGTCTGGGCTCGTGTTGTTGCCATGACTGACTTTTTTTATGTTTCGGGCATGCGCTTGCCTTTTTTTCCTTAGCGTTATCGTTTCACGCCCAGCCTTGTGTTGGGAAAAGACTGGCGTTCACACCGAGAGGGGTGCTTGTTTCTCCAAAGCTTTGTCGTTGTCATGTAGAGATGGGCGTCAGTTTTTGTTTTTTGTTAAGTAAGTTGTTGTAGAAGGACGAATCAAAGGATCACTTCGTGTCTACAAACAGACGTCGAGGTAATTTTTGTGGTTCGACATTAGGTTCATGTTCAGCAACGGATGGTTTCACGCTTCAAGTTGTGCCAGGGAGACGCAACGGAAGCTATGGTGGCCTTCCATTCCACTCTTGCAATACGCAGAACGTGCGTTCTTGCTTCGTTCGCACGTGGTTTTATCACCAGGGATGTCAATTATTTTCGTGCAGTGTTCGACGCCTGTTCCCGGTGGGTCGATCTCAGCCACAGCGAGTGAAATGAAGCGATCGCCATTCAGCGGGTTGTCTCGAACGACTGTGAAGTCAAGTGGAGGTGGAGGATGTGCCTCCGATCGAGGCCGGCGGAGTGGTGCTAAACTTCCCAAAACAGAGCGCTTCTGCTCTATTTTCAAGCGGGCCGGGAATTCTGTTGTTGTCACGTTGAAAGAAGGGTTTGACCCCCCCCCCCCTCGAAACGTGTTTGTTTCCGCAAGCTGCAGTCGCGCGGCATCGAGAAGCTCGTTAACATTCCCTTCCCCTCTGTTCCGTTGTCGGGTGCACTTTCGATTCGTGCCCTGACTGTTTGTGTGTGTGCGTGAACGTGCAGGTTTGGGGCTTCACGACTGCCGACACAGAGATGGGTGCGAGGTTAGAGCGCTTACGAAAGACGCTGAGGGGTAAAACAACCCGGCCCTTGTGACGGACGCGAAGACTAGCACGTTTCCCTCTTTGGTTTTGGAGGCTTTTAGGTCGGGGATATTTCACGCGTTGATTGGCCTTGGCGCATTTCCCCGCCGCGGCCGTACCCCCAATTTTGTCTCCCCTCTCCTTTGATTCGTAGATGTAATTATATGCCGCGGGTCCGTAGAGTGTACAAGTACGTGTGTGGGACGAAGAGCCAGGCAGCTGTATTAAGGGCAGGCTTGTTTGCCTGCCTGCCTGACCTTTGCTTCCACACGACCTGCCGCTCGTGTTGCGATGATCATGTTTTTGTGTTTTGAACGCTTCTTCTCGTGTGTTCAGCAGTTGATTTTTTTCTTGTGTCGTCGACGTATCTTGCCTATCGTAGCAAGTTGTGTTCAACGGGCGGTAAGGATGCTTTCGCTCTCGTATTTATAGTTTTTCTTCTGTTGTCAGCTTTGACAAGCACGTGCGTCATGATATGCCGCTGGTTATGTGGAAGGGCCAAGCGCAGCTTGTGCAGCTTAGGCAGCAAGTCAACGAAGGCGAGGGTCACTCCGGTTTTACTGCGGTACGGACCAGAATCGCACTTGGGCCGTCGCGTATCTCGCTTGTTTTCGTTTTGTCAGAGACCGCCAAGCTTTCTTGGACTTGGAAATACAACGGTTCGTTGTGTTGACTGTAAATTCCCGGACGTTACAGACGCACCCACCGCAAAGGAAGATCACGTGCCCATCAACTCGATTCAGTGTTTCAACCGCTGCAAACACCGCCACCGGCCACCATGAGAACCTCGAGTTCTGCTAGAGGCATACCATGACGTTCCGACGCAACACGCGACAACATGTGTTCAATATTGCAAATTGGTTTCTTGCCCCTGGATGGCCCCTGTTTTCGGGGTTGTGGCTAATGCGTTTTCCGTAGGAACTTTCGTGGCTTACGTTGTCGGTAGGAACTGAGAGTAGTGGAGTTGCAGTGAGCGGCAACCCTTCCTTGCAATGCGAAACACTTGCATAGAAAAGGGTTGGCGCGCCCTTTGCCGGCCCGACAATGCCGTGCGGCGAAGGATAGGACATGTTGCTGCCGTCGGTTCTCGTCTTGAGCCAGAAATGTGTTACAGTTGCTTCCCCGACTGAGCGTACAGGTTGTAGAACCTCCTCGCCTGCTGTTGCTGATGACAGGTCGTACCGGGCACTCTCTCTTCTAATAAATGATTGGGTTGTGCCAGGGTATCTCAAGGTGTTGGGGCTTTTCCTCTTGAACCGTCCTTTTTAGGGTATGCTTTTCTCTGCCCAGATAAAATCTATAGGACCTGCATTGGCGATCTAGTCTATGCCTGAGTACGAGATTGTCGTTTGTGGTTCGGTAAATGCCTACTTCAGCAGTATCCATCGATTTGTTTGAGAAGAGAGACTGGGGTGAATGCGAGACGAAAAATATTTGATCTGCTTCATTTGTGGAGGTTGCCTCCGCTTGCCCCTCCTCACGAGGAGACGTTGTCAAGCGCGTGAGGAGGGCATGCTTGGAGGTGGAGGCGTTGTCTTGGCTGCAGAATGCCCTGTGCGCTGAGGTGAGGTGTCACGGCAAGCTGCATGGCGCAGGGGGTATGAGCTCCCTCACAAAAACACGTCTCCATGTAGCACTGTGTGTATTAAGGGTGGGTGGGGGCTTTCGACGATCATGACGAAGGTCAAGCGCCATGCGCACGGCCAGTTGTTATATAGCTGACCCTGGTTTGCGCTACCTGAAGTGATACACTTCCGCACGGTCGATTGAGGTCACGCGGATATGCTGTTGCATGAGTCTGCACATTCACTCGCCTTAGGGTTGAGCGCCCGAAGTCTGGCTGTGGTAAAGAACCGCAGGCATAAAACGGTAGGGAATGCGCCCGATGGTCATAAAACGTTAATCTTGGGAGCGAGCAAAGTATCAAAGGCGGCGACATCAAAAACTCTCACGAAACACGCGTTCGCGTGAGTGGCGCCTCAGGCGACCATATCGATCGCCGGCAGACTGATATTTGGATGATTTGTTCAGGGTTTCGGATTCACGTCCCATTCATGACCTCACCACTCACAGCATACCGCCACCACTTACATGGACCCCAACTCGCTTCGACCGCGGGAGGTATCAAAGTACTGTAGACCCACAACCATCGCCGGATGATATTTTCCCGAAAGCTGTCGTCACTGCTCCAACAACCGTGTTTCAGTCCTTGTTGTGGTTATCCCCCTTCTACACCCATCTACTCACACCGCCGTGAAAAGATTTTTTGTGGCCTGCCTGCCAACATCCTTTACAGATTAATTGTAACTCGGTGGTGAAGGCTACGCTCCCACCAACCATGTGGAGCAATGAATTTTCGCGCTCTGGGGAACATGATACTCTGGGGCTAAACCTACAGAGGTTTGGAATGGAAAACACAACGAACGTTGAGACCAACAGACCGCACCAAATACGACACGAAATACACGGCGGCGATCAGGAGCGGACATTCCCACCTCGACCTACGCTGCATGTCCTTCGTGAAAAGCTCGTCACCAACACGTTATAATGTTGTAGTTCCCGCCATCGAAACATGGCTTCCACGCCCCACCCTCTCTCTCTAATTTTCGTGTTGAATCGCCTTTGGTCAGTACTTACACGTATGGTTTCCACTGTACAGGCTATGTACCCACATGCACCCATCATCCATGCACAAGATCGACGACGTTCAACGAAGGCGTTTTCAGTGCTGAACGTTTGGCGACACCAATCGGTCGATGAAGTCACATCATGCTACGACGAAAACACGAAGGCCTTTGAAAAGTCCGCGAAATCGACGGCGCCGGTTCCCGAGGTGTCCCGTTGTTTGATCCACTCGCGTAGGTCTTCGTCCGATGCTGTCACTCCTCGCTGCTGGAACGCGGCTTTCAGCTGCGATGCGGGCAAACGGAGAAACACATCCGGAACGACGTTTTACGAAGAATTGAGTGTTGGGGTATAAGTTGGGAATTGCGAGGGGTCACACTTTCTTGAATGGCCAACGACACTTATTGTGACGATACACATTGGAGGTCATTCGGAGGAAAGATCTTCTGTCAGCCGGTGGGAGCACTGTACAGCCGCCATTTCTCCCAGAGGTGAGCTGCGCCAATACGGTTGCGTGACGAGCAACTGTAGCACCTCTCTGCTCGACTGCGGCAATCGTTTGCTTTCGTGACATCAGCGGACCAAGGCCTGTGTGCATGGTGCATGCCACTCATGTTCGTGTACCGTCACAGACCTCCAGATACGTGATGAAGCCGTCGCCGTTGAGATCGTACATGTCGAAAGCCCCCCGAAGAGCTCTTTCTCTCTCTGGACTGCCGACAGCAGCATCGCCGTCCCCGTATCCCCGTTCGTCGCCGCTGCCACTGCCGTACCTCTCGGCACCGTCGCCGCCACCCAGCCCCTCCCCGTGTTCTCCCGCACCCTCTCTTTCCATCGATCGCCTCCATACAAACGAACTCCGCCGGCTGCGCCCCCCGCCCTCGTCGCCGCTGTTCACCCCCATCACCTGCTGTCCTGTCCCATTCCCCAAGGGGGCGCCGCGATATATGTCCGATGGCGGTACCCCTGTTTGCTGCGCCTCTCGGTCCGTTCGAGATTGTCGTCGCTTGTAGCCGAGAGTGGAAGCGTTTGCGTAGTCGTCGTTCTCCGCGGAGCTTCCGTCTGACTCTGCACCGGACTCGCCATCAATTCGCAACGTCCACGGCGAACGCTGCTGTCGCTCACTATCACCAGGCAGGGCAAAAGAGGTGGACGACGCGGGGTGTAGCCAAGGCCGCTGTCCTACCCTCCCGCCACCAAAGCCTCGCTCTCGGTCCCTGTCTCGGTCGCTTGCGTACCGCTCAAAGGCTCGAGATACGACGTCACCAGCGGTTTCGTCTGTCTCGCTGGCAGCCGTGACGTCAGCAGGGGCCGTATCCTTCGTAGTTTGTGCGTGTCTACGCCTTCGGCGTGTAGGTCTCCCCTGACCTAGTAGGCCGTCCCCTGTGCCCTTGTTGCTGGAAGACACACGGTTTGTTTCCCGCCCCGCGTGTTGTGGACGAGCAGCACCCAAAGAACTCGGCGGTGCCGCCGGACGGCTCGATCTGAACGTCCGTCCAACAACCGTCCTCTGCGCCCACGCACGACGCTCTTCCATTTCGTCGCGCTCCAAGCGCAGGCGTGCGGCCGCCGCCGCGACCCCTACCGCCGTCGACCTTTCTTCGTCCCGATCGTTGACCGCAGCGGCGGCCTTGACCCTAGTGCCATCCTCCCTTTGAGATCCCGGGTAGGGTGGGGGGGGCGAGCGCGCTTTCTCCTCCGTTGAAGAGGATCGAGAACGATGCCCCTGGTGGTGGTCGTTCCCGTTTGCGTCGCCGCCACCGCCATCGCCGAGCACGCGCCCGGGCATGCCGTCGAAGTACCCCCCCGGACTAGATACGTTTGTTCGGGCGTTCGATGGAATGCCGACACCGCTGGCATCATCGAGTGTGGAGGTGTGACCAGGGCTGTGGAGCGTCAATGCTCTGGGGTCGAGAATCAGAATGGCCCTCACGAGTTCCTGGTTGGGGTTGGCGCAAGCGGGGGGGGAAGGGGGAACGGGGGGTATCCGGTGGTTTGTCCGGGAAACTCAGGGCCAGCTCACATCGTTCAAGGGTATTGGGGATGCTTGTATCCTTGGTCCATCCCATCTTTGTGTGTCATGTGCACGAAGTGCCACGGTTCCTCATGCTTGGAGTAACCTCTGTTCTTCTTTTTGTTGGGAATGTCTTCTCTGCTCAATATTTGACAGCATTTGCCCTCGTGATGAAACCACCTCGACTTTAACGCGAAACGCGGAAATCAGCGGTTGTTGAGTGTCAAAACTCTTCGACCCATCGGGTTTCCCACCGAACCTGGAATGAAACCCGACCGCCGAAGAGCTCATCGATCACACCGCCGCGGTCGTCGAAGTAGCTCTTCAGCGCAACCCCGTCGGGATTTTCCACCCGAAGACGCTCCAGAGTCGCGATGGCGCCCTCTTTGTCGAGACTTTGTTCCAGGCTTAAGCCTTTTGTAAAGCAGCCAACAGCGCGAGTGAGACGCAATAGATTTGGTAGCTGTCGGCGTGGGGGTTTAGCACGATAAGTTGTCGTTTCCGAAGATTGTCGGCAAGCTGTGCCGTCTTCAAACGTATTGCTCTACATGAAGAGGTGTTCGGCCTGCTTGTTTGGAGGAATAGGCCCTCCCCTATCAACCGCATCGACGTCAAGCACAACGCCCGATGGTGGTCTTACCTCCGTCGTCTGACTTGTCTTCTTGATTGTGCTCCTCGGCTTGCTCATCGAAAATTATTCTGGCGCCCCTGCACTCGTTCAGTGGGATCGCGGTCCACATCCCACCGCGTCCTTCCGCCCAGATCTCTCCTTGACTTTTCCTGCCGGAAGATGTGGTTTCCTTCAGGAGCCCAGAGGCATCCGCGTAACGGCAGACGAAATCAGAGAAAGTACAAGCAGCCCTTCCTGCAGTCGCCCCGTCCCCGCCCGCCCCGTCGCAGGCTTGTTCCGCCGTTTCGAGAGGAAGCCGAAGTTCTGCCATAGCGTGCACCATCCCCTCCTTAGAAAGAGCGGCCGTGTGATCATCGTCGGGCCCGCCTTCTGCGGCAGTTTCGGAGTCGGAGAACGAAACGGTCTTCTTGCTCTTTGCCCGCTGTGCACGAGACTCACTCGGCCGTGCGGTCGCCCGTCCGCGCGGGACCCACCGTTGGAACGCGTCTCTCACCTCCACTACGGATGCTCCCATGCGATCGAGTGCGACTGCCACGCGCGCGCGCTGCTCCTGAGGGGATAGGAGTGGTGCTGATCGTGACGCTAGTGCTGCAGGTCCTCGAGGTGGAGCGGAGTCCTCACCAGCTGCGTCCAGGTTGACCCTAGCACCCAGACGGTGGGCCACGCGGTTGTCGTTGTCTTCTTCATCGTCGCTGTTTCTCTTGGTGGTGCCGGGTGCCCGGCCGCCTAACCAGGAGAATTTCGAAATGCCTTGCGCACCGCCGCCACCTTGTACTGGCGAAGTCTTCTGCACCCCTTGCTTCCCTTTCTTAAAACCGTCAGGCACTGGTGGGGTTCGAGATTCGCCAACAGAAGACGGTCGATCTGACCCGACGATGATCGGGTGTCGTCGTGAGGAGGGGGTTCTTGAATCTCCCTTCGGGGGTGACGCATAAGCAGGTGGTGGAGGCTGCCTCGACAGCGGGGGCGTGGCTGGCGCTGGTGACAGTGCTGACTGGAGACGGCGAGGAGCGACTTCATCTGGGACGATTTCTTCTCCATTCCAAGCGAGTTTTCCTTTGCCTTCGACCTTAAGGCGATTGGTTCGCGAAAACAAGACGCGTTATTGCTGCTGCTGTTGCCACCGCTGTTGGTGTATTGGACTATTGAAAGTCGTTCTACCCTCTGGCTTGTACCTCCGCTTTCCTACTTTGTTCTCACATGCTATGAGCGAAATCCGGTGTCACGAACTAACTCAAATCACAGACAAACATGGAATTTGGGCCGTAGAGAACAGGGACAAGATCGTTTGGAGCTGGTTTCCTGCGTGACTGTTTCGGAGACATCTTGTTGTAACTGGTTCCGGTGCCAGCTTGTGGTAGTTGCAGTAGTTGTTGTTGTGATTGTCTTCACATCTATAAAACCCTTCCGATCTCTCTACCTAGTACAATTCTTCGTCTGTCCATACCGATCTAACACATGACGCGGTCGATTCCCGTGGTCACAGGCTGACTTACCCTAGAAAGGAATACTCGAATAAAATGGACCCGAAGGGTCCACAAGACAATACCAGTAGAGAAGACAGACAAGCACACGAGAGAGAATCTATGCCAACGGCCACTTCTCACCTCCACGAACAGAAGCCCCGGGACACGGAGAACTCCAGCGAGACAGCGTGTGTACAACTGGGCGGCGATCACGCTTGGTAGCGCGAGTTTCAGGGTCGACCTACCATCCGAGGTCGAAGATGGAGCTGTTCTGGTAGCAGTAGGAGCTTGGCGAGAGGTATCGCCACCACCGGTACTACTTCCGTTGCTGCTACCGCCGACTTCGATGACACGAATGCTCTCTTCGGCGGTGGCGAGTTCCGCTGCGAGAAGCCCACGCATACCGGGGACGGACAACGTCGATAGTTCCCCCTCTATTGTCAGCACGGCGTTCTTTTCCTTCTCGGGTGCGGTTGATGTGTTGTTCGGTATTGGTGATTTACCGGCTGCACCATCTGCCCCTTCTGCAACGAAAGAAAGGGGTCTGTTCTCCCTGCGGTGCGGTGCATCGATCCCGACGCCTAGCGCTGCCTGTATGTTGTTCGGTTGCGGCGTAACTGTCGTGCTATGGACATCGTGCCGTGCCAGTGCTTGCGGTTCTCCGTTGTCGAAGGTCCTATCCTCGATGGGCGCCACGTGGGTGCTCGGCGTCGGTGGAGCCTCGCCAAGGGTGGTAGCCTTACGGCGAACCCAACGAGCCCACTGCCGCCTGGTCTCGGCAGCCCCATGGTCTCTCCTGGCACGAAGCACAGCCCGCCGCGGGACGCCTGCGAGCTTTAACGCCCTGTCGACGGGAGGACTCTCCAACCGAGCCAGGCACCTGAGACACGCACTCACCCCGGCTCGTACAGACCGGTGGCGATTTCCTCTGAGACGGGTGCACTCTGCGGGTGGAAGGCCATGCCTCACGGCCTGCCTCGCGGTTTCGCGGGCGACGGCGGGGCAACCAGCGCGCCTCGCAACCACCCGCTCCAGAAACGCGATGCCCTCGTTTCTCACGAGCGGGGTCCCGTTGTACCGCACGAAAGCGGCCGGAAGCCGTGTGCTAACGATGTCCGTTACGGCGCAATCGGGCAGCATATTTATCGCGATAAACTCCACAAGGCCGGAAACTATAAGTTGGGCTTGCAGCCCGCGGCCGCCGCCGCCGCCGCCGCCGCGGTCCCCTCGGTGGCACAAAATTCGATCAAATAGCTTCACTCTCGCCAGCCTTCCGGCGGGGTATGTTCGTAGCAGGTGAACTTCTTCCACCCCTAGCCGGCGGCTTTCTCGTGTAAGCCGCGTCGACGCTTCTACCGCCTGACCAAGCCGCACTCCCAAGCCGTGGTTCTCCATGGCGTCAACCGTTTCCCGGTCCCCGTGGGCCAGGGCTTCTGCCAGCGTATCGGTCGCCCCTACTGCGAGGGGTGGGATGGGGTGGGCCCGGTAAAGATCGAGCGGCGTCGGGGCTTCCATTGACAAAAGAAGCACCAGGGTTTCCAACCCCGTTTGCGCCCTCGCCAAATCAAAAGTTGCGTCGGGGGTGGTTGTGTCACGGCCGTTGCCTTTGCCATCTGACGGCGAGGATGTACCGATGTCTCCGCCACCGGATGCTCGAGAAACCTCGCCAGCGAGGTCAGGATGAATCTTGCAGCGAGCAAGCTTGCAAGCCGCCGCCGTGCCCAGAAGGAAGTGCATCAGCCCGAGACACTCCCACGCGAGGGACGCCCTGGCCGCGGTCGACGGGTGGTCCGACTCATCGCGCGCAAGCTGCAGTAGAGCCCTCTGCATCCAGCCCCACACCAATGACATCGTGACACTGGTAGCCTCAGGGGTGTTCATAGTTCCTAGACGGTCGGTTGACCCAAGAACCCTTCGGTCGCCAATCCGAACCGCCGTCGCCAACATCGATCTGACGCGGTGCACTAGGGCCAATATCTCGTTTTGCGTACCGGCCCCTTTCAACAGCTCGGTGGCCGTGGACGCTAACCCCTTGGGAGAGGGCAACGATTCCGAACTAAGAATCACCTGCGGGTCCCCTAGCGCCCCAGTGAGCCCGGGCTGCGCACGAATCATGGATTGGGTTCCCCCTGACCCGTTTTGGGCGAGAGACTGAAGCACTCTCACGACCTCTTCCTTCCACCCGTTGGAGTCAACCCGCCCCCCCCCTTCACGACCGTCGCCGCCGCTACGACCCCCCGGCATCAACTCACCCACACCCGGAGGTCCGCCACGGCTGAGTAGCCCTTGCAGGGCAGACAGCACCCGACACCCGCGCCAGCTGTACGTGGCAAGGTCTCCACCCTCGGCCATGTACCCGAGACACTGGAGGGCCATTCTCCTCAAGTTTTCTTCCGACTCGCGGGCTGAGCGGCTGGGGTTGGCGGACCCCAAGGCGGGAGCGCCGCGGCCGCGGATTATCGCCGCAAACGCCGAAACCCACACCGTCGTGCAGAACCCCAGCGACAGGAGAGCCCGCGGGTCCAACCGCCGAACCGACATGGAAACCCACTGGAGGCGCTTGTGTCCCCCTTGGAGGGCCGACAGCGCGCAGCTAACGGCGTCTCTTCGGACGTCGGGGTCGGGGTCGTGGAGACACGGCGCCAGCTTCTCCCCGAGGCGCGCGTCCACCAAGAGCTGCGTCCGCTGCAGGGTGGCCCCGTCCTCGTCCAGCTCCCGCCCGCCACCCATCCAGCCGAGAGGCTCGGTTTTGTCGAGCCCCCCGCTGCCGACGTCGCAGCACATCCGCACTACCGTCAGGCAGTACGCGGTCGCCTGTCGGCGAGCCCGGCCTGTGGCGCTGGCGAATCCGCCGGTGGTTGTTCGGCTGCCTCGATGGAGTGCATACAGAACCCTCCCTAATGCCAGGAGCTCGGCGAAGTACGTGGATGCGCGCACGAACATGGGTGGTACATGTGACCGGATGAGACCGCTGCTCCCCGTGGTGCTGGCCCCGCGAGTGTCGCCAAAGCCGGCGTTGTCATCATCGCGGCCGTCATCTTCGTCATCGGAGGAGGAGCTTGCCCAGTCGCCACTAGCATCCCCAAGCCCTTCCAGATCATCACTATCACCGTACAATGCACCCGCTCCAGGTTGATGTGTCGCCAACGCACACCTGCGAATATACCTCTGGATGGTGAGGTATGAGTACCCTCCCTCTCCCGTCTCTCCCACCGCTTCGACCAGCAGTCCTTCGAACATCTGCGATATGGCAGGCTGCCAGTGCGACTTCCCACCTTCGCAGCCGCCCGTGCTTGAATTGTACTGCGCGCTTTCGGTTGCAGCACCAGGCTTCCCGACCGTAGTGTTGCTGATATTGCCATACTGCGCGACGCAGCGGAAGCGGACGAGCGGGAAGCGAGCGCGTTTGTCATTTTCCCGAGAGAGTCGAGGGAAGAAGTGAACGAACCTGAAAAAATACCGCTGGTTTTCGTGCCTTTGCTCTGCAGCATCGCGGAAGAAACGTGCACCTTTGCAGCAACTCCTAGGTGCAGTCTCGGTGACGTCCCCTTGATGACCGCAAAACCCGTCTTTGATGAGAAACTAAACGCCCATATGGTATTGGTAGAGACACTCGAAAACTAAGAGCACCCGCGTGGGTGGGAGGTTGCCAAGGTGGCGAGCAACGACAAAGAACCAAAGCGCGTACCCTGACGGCAAGAAACCCCTCCTCCCCGAGAAACAGGGTGACAAGACACCGCAAGACGATGTCGGCGTACGGCCGAACCGCACTGCCTGGTCTCCTCAGGTCCGACAGCAGCCCCTCGAGCACCCTGGCCAGAGCGAGGAGGACGCGGGCCCCTACAGTTTTTTTAGGGTCGCCTTCCACGAAACCGACGCCCGAAACCCCGCGGCCTACTGCCTCGGCCTGCTTCATGCGGTTGGGTCCCATAGGCAAGAGGAACATTTCGTAAAGCAGGCACACGAGATTGTAAATTGGGACCGTTGTCGGAGAGTGGGGGTGGGTGGTTTGTAGACACTGTGGTGAAACAGAGCAAGAAAAATAGGCAAGGGTGGCGAGGGGCTCGGGGTGCGCCCCACCAAGTCGGGGCACATCTTAATCTAGAGAACCCAAGACACGTCAACCTCCATGGAATGCGCAGTTTTGTTGGCCCTCCTATATCGTACCAGCTGCTACAACCAATCGTCTTTGTGACAACTTTGGGTCTCGCCGTGTGGTGTTGGTTTGTGAATCTATGTGGCATAGGCCAGAGAGGAGGAAAAACAGGTGCAGTCAAAGCTCTACACAACAAAAGATTTAGTAGAAAGGATACCTGTGATGACCAGACCTCTTCTGCAAATGAAACCCTAGTCGGAGAATAAGCACGCACCTCTTCTCGATCTAAGAACCTAAGGGCGAGCGCCGTCGCTCTCACTAGAACACCAGTCTCGAAGATCTCGCCGATCAGTTTCGAGTGGCCGAGGGTCACCCTGCGGGCCTGCTGCGGGTAGTCATCCTCGCCCAGACGGTCAACAGGCGGCGATGATCGATGCACCAGACCCTCCAGCTCCTTCAAGGCCTCCACTAGCACGCCTACGCCGACGTTTGCCGAGGCACCGTCGCCTCCCCTTCCGCGGACAGGCCTCGCCCTGGTCGAAGAGTGATGGTTTAGCATACACACAGCCTCCTGGCTGTTCTTGGGTTGAGAAGACGCAGCCTCCAGAGCTTGGATTCGGGACTCCACACGATCACGCAACGCCATCGTCGGCGACAAGTCGTTTCCAGACCCGGCCATGTACTCCGCAGCGGCCTTGAGGTCATCTTCGCCACTCGTTCGCTGTCGGCGGGGAGAAAAAAAAGGAAAACCCAGAAGACTAGCCGAAGAGGGACGGCGATTCGGGTTCGGCTCCAGGCAGGCAAAGAGGAGCTCTACGAAAGACGCCGGGGTTGGGGGATGCAACGTGTCGTCTCCTGCGCGTAACGACCTTGATAGGCCGGGGCCGGAGGCGGCAGAGGATAGGCTGGCCGCACGAAGAACGTGCACCAAAGGGATGTACAAAACATTCCCTTCGCCTTCGCGGTAAGATTGGCCGGCAGGACTGTCAGCGTCGCGGCCTTCAGCATCGCCGCCGCTGCCTTCCGGCCCTCCTGCGTCTCGAAGGCAAAACGCGACGAGATCGGCTTCGCTGGTCGAGAAAGGCAGCTGGAGCTCATCACGCACGACGCCCCGCACGACCGAGAACGGAAGTCGACCGGTCCCCCTGGGGTCCGCTCCTACCAGTTGCGCCGCGGTCCTGTCGACGGCGACTTCGGTCGCCTGCCGTGTCATTCGTTTGCTGGAAAGGGGCACACCGTGGTCATGATGGACGGCCCCGACCTTCTTTCTGCCGCCGCCTTCGTCTCCCCCGCTTATCGGCGACCACGGGGTAGTTGCTGCCACCGCCGAGGCAACGGAGACATCCAGGTGATCTCGGAGTTTCTCCTGAAACGTCTGCCATGTCGTCACATCGAGATCCCCGCCCTCCTCCATCTGCAACTGCCGCCGGACCCAAGCTCGTCGAAACCGGTGGACCGATTTCCGACCATCGTCCCAGATGGCAGACGTGCCTTCTCCCACGCCTGCAGACGAAGCCACATGGAATGGATCTCCCTCTCCTATGGCAGCCCCTAGGGACATACATCCCAGTGCCTTCTCGAGAGGAGAATCGCCGACGTGCGCTGTCGCCAACCCCACCCCGTTCCCCTCTTTCCCCTCTTCTTTGTTGGTGAGTCCGCCGACCGCCGAAAGAAAATCGTACTGGATCGCGGTCACCAGATCGTCGAGCTTCGGAACCGGGGTGACCTTGGTGCCGCCGCTGGTGGCGTTGTCAAGCGTCAAGGAGGAGAGCCCTCGACGAAGAGACTCGCCGTACGCCGGCGGCGGATGGCCGAAAGCTAGCTCGAAGAGTAGGATCCCGAGCGTCCACACGTCCCAGGCGGCTGTGATGGGAAACGGTCCGGGTCTCCCGGCGTCGGCGAGAACAAGCGAAACACCATCGTGTCGACTGTCGTCGATCGATTCGCCGCTGCCGTCAGAGACACCGCCGTTTTCCGTGCTCCCCCTTATCGTGAGAGCTTCTGACGGGGTCAAGGGCATCGTTGGGCCGTGGATGTCGCCGTCGAGCTTGGGGGCCTCCGAGGACACGAGACCGGTGTCTGAAGAAAAATTCGCTAAGCTAGAAAAGTCTACGATCTTGACCGTCGACCCGTCCGGGGAGACGAAAACGGTCGACATACGCAGGTCTCGTAACAGGAGTGAGGCGGATGATAGACACTCTAGGGTGGACGCCAGCTGTCTGCCCCAAAGGCGCAGGACGCGAAACCCTTCGCCTCCCTCGCCGGCTGCTATCTCGGACGGAATCGCCAGCGGCCCGTGCTCAAGGACCACATCACGAAGCGACCTCCATCCTTCCAGGCGCTCGCAAACAATCCGCACGGGCACGGGAGAATATCCGTCAGCAGTGTCTGCACTCTCCTCTCTGCGTCTCTCTCCGGCAGCATCAACTCGCCTGTTGCTTTTAGTGCCCTCCACCACGACTACCCCGGGGTGGACACCAATCAACCCGGGTTTCTGGCGGAGAACTCGCACCGATAGGACGGACGCCGCAAAGGCCAAGTTTTCGCCGATGGTTCGTCTTCCATGACCACCGTCGGTTGTGGTCGGCTCTCGCCTTGCGAATGCGGGTGAGACTTCCAACACAACAACAGGTTCCCCCGCATCCCCTCTTCGTGATGCAGCCCCGCGGCCGTGGTAGAATCCCCGTCCCTCGAACGCTCGGACGCCGTTCTTCGAACGGTCCGGCAACGGTGCGTGGCGGTGGATCTGAGCAGTGAGAATAGCCGCGCCGTCGTGGCCCTTCCCGTCGACGACGCGTGCGTTGCTGCCGCTGTCGGCCTCGTCGAGCTGACGTCGCGCCGCTGATGCCATGACGGCCTTCGCTTGGGCAATCAATTCGTGTTCCGGCATTGCGGTAGGCGGGCGGCTGTCGGGAGGAACTGGCGCCGTCGTGTCCGCGGTACCCGCGAGAAGGAGATCTTGACCCCGTCGGCCGAGCCTTAGCTGAGTCGTCGTGAGGATATCCCCCACCTCCTCGAGCTTGTTCGTCCAGTTGCGGCATCGCCTGGCGACGGCGTAGCTATGCAACGGAGAGCGGTAGTGGCGTTGCCGTCGTCGTCCCCTCACACCGGCAGCACCAGCTACGGATGAGGCATCGTTTTCATCGAACGTTTCCGCTAAAGCGGCGAAAGCGCGGTCTATTCGTCTCATCGGGTCCAGCTCGGCGGCAAGATCGGCGATTTCACCGGCCCCTAGCAGCACCGACGAAGCTTCGCCACATCCACCGGGCTCGGGTGCTGCCGCTCCTTCCAACGTGCCGCGAAGGCCTGATGGACAGCGCTCGTCGGCCTGGCCTGTCCCCTTCGCAATGATCACCCCCGCGCTGGCACCGAGGCACGTTGTTGAGAGAGCCGCCGCCGCTCTATTGGCACTCCCGGACCGAACGGTGGGGGTCGTATCGTGGTCGCCGAGAGCGGGGGGATCCCCCAACCCAAGCTCTTCGGCGTTCTTCGCGAAACCCTCAAGCGCCGTTCCATGAACCGGTGCTTGCCCGAACCTGACAAGAATGGTAAACGCCGCTTCTGTTGTAGCCCACTGCTGGGGATGGGCGACAGCAGCGTCGAGCGCTGCCCGCAACCCATCCCACTGGATTGTGCGTTCGGCGGTGCGATTGTCCTGCCGAGCCCCGCCCGTCACTGCCTCCTGCTCGGAACACAGGTATCAGGAGGGTGGTTAGTGGAGAGGCCCCTTTAGGGACCGGTCAGCACAGAAGCGATAGTATATAATCAACCCTCAAAGAGGTTGGATGTTGCTTATCTGTGGGTCATGCAGACCTAGGTCTACCAGGAAACGATCTGTCGAAACATTAAAGTATGAATAACTATAGTATTTCCAAAGTGCCATATTTTCGGTTGTAGAAGCTGTCACCTGGAACGCTGGAGTTAACATCGGTCGGAGGAAATGCCGCGTGATGGGGTCATGTGCCGGGTGAAATGCGGCCTGCTTCAAACTTTGCAGTAGGAGCGTCACCCCCAGCCCTGTTCCTGTCTCTCTCCCTCTTGCATTTTCCTGCGCTCCTGTGATCATGAGATAGCGTAACACCTGATAACGCAATCAAGGGGAGAGCAATGGCGAGTAGCGCTGTAGAACCTGTAGAACCTGTAGAACCTGTAGAACCTGCTCATTTTGTGAGCGGAGGAAACTGCGGTGCACTACTCGCGTACGGATGAAACGGACGAAGAAAAAAAATAGACGTCGTAGAGCAGGCTGGGTCGACAACCAAGGAACGCCCTTCCCAACCTCGCTGCTTCCCCCCCACCCTTACCTTTGCTGCCTGGAGGTAGACGGCGGAGCTGTGGCGGTCAGCAGGCGACGTCGCGCTAGCAGGGAAGCGGGACGGGAGGCGGAGTCCAGCCGCCAGCGCCTGCTTGAGGGCCGCGGTACCAATGGCGTCTGCAACCTCCTCGCCGCAGGCCCGATCGAGCGAGCACAAGCGGAGGCCGCAGGAGACGCGTGCTATGAGCCTGGCTTCCGCGTTGGCGCGGCTTCTCGCGGCGAAAGCTCGCTCGGAGCACACGCCTCGGAGGTTCTGGCGTAGTTGGTGAAACGCAGAGAAAACATTGTTCGAAAGGAGGGAAGTGATGTCGGTGAACGTTGCGTGCATGAGAAACGGAAGATGAGAGATTGTTTGTGCTCAGGCAGATGGGAACGTCCTTGTTTCTACCCCACTTCAGGCACCTCTTGAGAATCTTTCCTCCGCAGTGGCGTACACCGGGTATATTTCAACAGGTAGAAAAATATTATTGTACCCGACGACGAAATGGCACTGAAAGCTCTGTACGAACGCATTCCTTTTTGCCCCCCCAACTACTCGAGAGTACTCCCTTCTGTGAAGCTATGCCACTCATGACGATCTGTTGTGCAGGGAAAGGAGCAAAACCCGTCGACGCTTCACGAGATCACCTCGCTTGCCAGGGCGTTGAACATCAGAGAAAAGTAGTCAAATCACCCCTCCTTCCGTCAGTTGCTTCTTCCTTTCGTCGTGTCTGACGCACACGCTCACAGGGCATGCCCAGTTTGATCTACCGAAGAATAATCGGCTGCATGTTCATGTAAACTAAACCGTTCATCCCAACAAACGCCCCGTGCTTCGCTCCTCGGAGTAACATAGCTTCGTTTTTACTTCCTCACCTGCATCGTCAGGGCCCAAGACGCCATGAACGCACTTGTCGCGGCAGCCCGGCGGTCCTCCCCCAAAGCCTCATCGAAGGACCTCGCCTCAACGCGCAGGGACACCCTACCGATCGCCCACAGCGAAACCACGCTGGCTGCACGTGCCCGGTGGCCGCCGCCGCCGTCGCCGCCGTCGCGATCACCACAAACTTCGACCCGGAGAAACTCTGCCGAACCCTCCACACAATATGTTTTGCCGACGGCAGTATGGTCCGTAGGATGTGACGCCCCTTTGCCGGGGAAGTTAACGGTTTCGGTAATGTCCCGATCGGGGCCGTCCCCTTCCCGGTAGAACACGGCGAGCCGCTGTCCGGGAAACAGAGCATCTAGAGCTCGGCGGGGTCTCGCCGCGACGCCTGTGTCACGCATCTAGGCCAGGGGCGGATGTGAAAATTCGAGGTTCGCGGACGGTGGGGGGTACCAAGAGACGATAGGTGGATTAGGATGCCTGCGCACACGGTGGACACCTTCTTTAGCACGGACAGTGTACCTCCTGAACGCTGTTTTTTGTTACGATGCTCTTTCAAACCTGCCCTCAAGTTCTGAACGATGGCCGTTTGTCTTGGCCGTGATATCCATCGTTGAAATATAGGGAAAGTGAAGCAACAGCATCTAGGTTGGGAATGTTCATATCGCAGCTACCCGTCGTGGTATACGTGACCAAAGGCACCACTTGATACCGGTCAGTGTGCCTGACTCTCCTCGCTCGCTCACCTGTCGAGCCATGGCATCTACAGCCCGTGGCCCCGTGGAAGCGGCGTACAGCACCCGCAACACCCCTGCCCGTGCCCTGAACGCCGCTCTCAAACTCGCCGCAACCCCCTCCCCACCACCACCTTGTTCCCCGCCCTGGGCGGCGGCGAGTGGGCCTGAAACTTCGAAGAAGGAAGCATCGTCGAGGAGGACATAGTGCTCTTCGAACCCCTTCGGAGAAGGGACGGATAGCATGTCCCCGCTGCTGGTGAAGTAGAAGAAGCCACCACCATTTCCTGGCAGAATGATGAGGGAGTGTGCCCGTTTGTGTCTTGCTCTCGTAAGTACGACAACTGACCACACATCACATGAATGTCGGAGGGGGTGAACGCGTTTGTGTCGTGCTATCGTAGGTACGATATTTGACCACACGTCACTTAAATGACGAGGGAGTTTCGTAGTGTTACGATTGACTGCTTATCTCTTGTGAGAGGAGCACCGCGCAGGCTGTCACTCTGGGTATAGCTGAAGGGGGTGCCCATGACTAGCACGGATACACACCCGCATAGTACAAGAAAGCTGCTGAAGGACTAAGGGCTACAGCCGAACGTAGAGTACAAGGAGAAAACGAAAAAGGTTGGGTATCGAAGAGGGAACACCCATGTGGACGGTTCTCCAGCAATACTGTGTGCTGAGAGAGTACTGAAAGGTACAACGACAAGGCTTGAGTGTGCTTCCGCAGATTGTGTACAAGATGCAGTTATGTTAGGGTTGAAATTTCGGGGCTCACTCTTCGAGGCCGGGTCCCATGGTTCCTCTTCGTCCATCGCTCGTGCCGCCCGCACACTTTCCGGGTCGGGCACGATCAGCGAGGCCGCGCCACCGCCGGGTAGCACAATCGAGTTTAGCTCTCGAATTTTCAGGAACCCTCCCCTTCCGTTCTTGCCGGCCGCGCCGCCTCTTCTTTCTGTCGTGTTCGCCTTCGCCGGCACAGCGCCGAAGGTCGCCACACAGCTAAACGTCCGGCCCTTCTCCGTCCACTCTTCTGCCGTTGTCGCATACGATCCCGGGAAGAGACGATGGTGCCTACCGCTGCGTCGACCCCCCTTGCGGCTCTGGGTCTCTCTGTCTTCGCTGCCTAATGCGCGCAGCGATTGCGGTGGCGGTGGGGCGAGTTTGTGTCTCCGATCACAGGGATCCCACACCCGAACCCTGCCGTCAGAATGCCCAGAGACCAGCAGCATCGACAGGGGAAGGTAGGTCAGACATGTCACGGGAGAGCGGTTGCCATCACCGCTGTGCGTGCCACCACGTTCGGAGCGACCCGATGAGAGAAGGTGCTTGCATGGGACCGGCAATCGCAGCCCGTTCCACCGAGGCAGCATCCGTTCACCTCCGCCACTGTCGAGGCTTGTAAGCACGTTTCCTTCTCTCGATCTCGTATCCAACTTTACCATCGAAGAAGGTGGCGGCCAATGCGGATGGACCAACACTCGCGCTATTGCGGCCCACGGGGCCAGGCAACGCCGCCGTTGATGCGCAGTGGTGTTTTCGTCCCGTTGCTGCAGCAGGTATGAAGAGGAAGAGGCAGTGTGTGCTTCGACTGCCAGCGCATCGGCGAGTTCCCGGAGATCTTCATCGCTCACATCCATCGCTTCGAGGGCGGCTTCAAGCGCAGCCGGGGAAGCTAGACGGTCGTCATCTAGACGGTCGTCATCTTGATGACCGTCGGCACAGCCACGAGCACTACCGTGGTCGTCGTCGTTGTTGATGTACTTGTCTCCCGCAACCGCGGCGGCACAAGCGGCTCGTGCACGGATTACTTGGAGGGTTGTCAAGATGTCAAGCCGAGTGGGCGGAGCAGGAGAGTCGACAGCGCCTCCACCCACCACGCCTGAAAAAAGAAAGGACAATATACAATGCGCCTAGTTTAGCGCCAAAACGGTGGTATGTGGGGCTACAAGTTGTTTTTTGCTGGTTAGCCCCTGAAGCAACACAGAGTGCTAAATTCTACCAGTGGGACAGTCACAGCCGAGCACGAATTCAAACGTTTTCCACATGGTACCTTGCCGGTGACTCCACAATACAGAGAATCCTACCGACACACCAAATAAACATGCGACTCGCCTCCCATGATCATGCCAATCACGAGCTCGCAAAGTCGTGCTTTGCAGAAGCCGTACACGGCGACCCTGGCGTCGACTACCGGACGAACGGGCCGTCGCTCCCAGTCCGGGCCCACCGATGGTGTCGCAGAATCGGTGCCGCCGTTGATCCCGTTGCCTTTAGCTTCGTGACGGTATGCCTCTTCCGGCCTTCGCAACCGCCGGGAGTCGACGCCCAGCTCTATGGTGCCGTCATCGTAGGTGACCTGACATGTACGGGTAAGAACGAGGACGGGGTGACGACATAAGCTGTGGGGGCAAGGATGGGGTAGGAAGCAATGGACGGCTTTTGTACTGGCCAATTCGACAAAGAGTCAAATCCGGATGGATACTAGTTGCGGCGGAGACAGTGCCGGTCGTCTTGCACGACGTCAACGTGAAGCGAAGGAAAAGGAGGGAGAAGAAAAGAGTAACGTTTGCAACAACGCGACCGATCGCGCTCCAAAGTTTGGTGCAAGCCGAGTCTGGTTTGTGCGTGATTAACCCTACCCCTTTCTTATTCGAAGTGCGAGGGAATCGTGAACTCTTGTCGCCTAATGGGACAGCTGTACCGTGAATGGTTGGCGTGGTGTATCGTTCGTGAAGATCTCCCGCTCATACACCTACAAAGTTCAGTCACCAGTCCCGCACCTCGATCAGTGGGTCCGTCCTTGCGTTCTTTGCCGAACCACCGGCTGTCGTCGCCCCGCCCGTCACCGTTTGACGATTTAACGAGCCGGCTCTCCCCGCATGGTGGTCCAACACGGCCGTCACCCAACCAGTGCGCCACACCGCACGAGCGCCCGCTTGACGAAGAACCTCCGGCCTCAGCGATCGAAGGGCGCGGCGGGCGTTGTCCTTGGACACCGGCGCCGCCGACATGGTGTTGTCGGTACCCGAGTTGTTGTTTTTGCTGCTGCCGCCCTCGTCTTGTCCGCGTACCAAGGCGTTTTCCAAAGCGCTGATGTCGGAAGACACCGAAGGATACCCTTGGTTTTGGCAGGAGCTGTCCACGTGTTGGGCCTGCTTTTCCAACCGGTCGCTGCTGTTAATCGGGAACAAGCATTCCCGCTTAAAACGCGCCCACTCGTCGGCGTGCGGCACTATCTCCGCCCCGATATCCCACACCCGCACCGTGGTGTCTGCCGATCCCGTCGCGAGCATAAGCTGGCACGGACACCCCAGAGCACGTTAGGCAAGAGGAAAGGTGGACGGGCGGGCGGGTGAGGGTGCGGACGGGCGTAGAAGGGAGGGCGGTCGTTCTGCTTTTCGTATTGGCCACAGGAGTTAATACATTCGCCGGGGTTGGAGGGGGGGGGGGGGGGGTGTACTCATAGTCGTGCATGCCGTAGTCGTTTGACCATTGACCTCGCATCCCTACAAAGCCGGGACGGAGCATGCCGGGTTCTCACCGGACCAGGCTCTCACATCACCAAGCGCGAAGCGCCGTGAGGTATTTGGCGAGTCGCATGAAGGGTGAGCTGCATCCTGCTAAGGGTGCTCGGCATCTTGTGCTTACTTCCTTGCGTACGGATGACAGCTACGTATGACTTAATTTATTTTCTGGTGCTTTCACTTCCAGAGACAGTTGTAAGCACTGTGTAACTGCCTCGAGGAAGCTTGACCATTTTAACACAACGTGGTGCGATCATCCCCCGTTGCGCGGAGTGAGGGTTCTCGACCCCGCACAACATGATCTACTCGACCACCATTATGGTTACCGCCAAAAAAAAAACGAGGTAAAAAAAAAAAACGGTAACCTGGTTGCCGAGTTCACGAAGTGAATTGGCTTGTTTTACAACGTCGTTGCCAAGCCACGAAAACCCAACCCCGATGGCAAACACCGAGTGGGGGGCTTGTTTTACAACGTCGTTGCCAAGCGACGAAAACCCAAACCCCGATGGCAAACACCGGGGGGGGCGGCTTGTTTTACAACGTCGTTGCCAAGCGACGAAAACCCAACCCCGATGGCAAACACCGGGGGAGGGGGAGGGGGGGCCGGGGTTGGAGGGGGAGGGAGAATTGCAGCTGACCAGGATGCAAGCGATAGATTCAAGGATAGCCCTGGTTGGGGAACGGTGGATATGTTTCTAGGCGTTGCTCAGATGGGTGGTTGTTTCCAAACTTTGACTGACGTCAACAACGACGTAGCACGAACCTTGAATGTCCCTCACTGTTTTGTGTGGGATTCGATCTCCTTTGGAAGATAAATCGAATGACAGGCACGATGCTCTGGCTGAGTTGGACTAGTGGTTCTCATTCGTGGGGTGTTTCTAAGAGCATTGTAAACACGATACAATCGTCCAGATGTGTTGACAAGTTCGTTGGTCAAACGTCTTATCTTCAGGACGAACTACACCAACCACGCGCGTAGACCCAAGGCTTGTGTTCTCTTCGCGTACCTGCGAAGGTATCCACAGCATGCAGCTGACCGGAAGGGCGTGTCCGCACAGGACCGCCAGCACAAGGCCCGTCTCGGAACAGAATGCCTGAACCTGTCCCAAGAGTCCGGGGAGAAAGGGGAAGAGGCGGGGTTGACCAAGAAGGCGATGGTGATGGATAGAGAGACACACGATAGAGAATGCTTCACTACCGAATGAGGTGTTCCCACCGCCAGGGTTCCTAAAGTAGAGGAAACATATTTCCTAAGAATGAAGAAGAAGCACGTATTTTTGACGGGCTGGGACCACGCCTGAATCGACACAGTCCCCCCGGGAAGGACCCATAGCGGTCGATGAGGGAGGAAGGGCACACTACCAGTACTTCCGTTTAGGGTTTTCACCGATAGGAGATTGACCGGCTTTCGTTGTCATCGGTCGATCAGGCTTCTGGATTTTTCGACTTTTCATGCGTGGGTGCGCTACCAGACGCAGGAGGAAGGGTTGTGGTGACCTCGAAATCGACGGAAGAAAAGCCACAGGGTGACGTATGTTCGAATTAGGAACGTTCCGAGTGTTGGACGCGCACAAGCGACCACATCGTTCCTCCTCCACCCATACAAAGGCCTTGCGACACCGAAACAGGGGTTGCGGTAGACATATGCAAGACGACGGAGAATCAGCCGTTACGCTGTACGCTATCGAAACATACCTCAGGCCGTCCGCCGACCAATCCAAGCAGCACCGACACCTCCGGCAAGAACACGAGATCCACCAACGAACACTCGGTCGTGCCGACCACCCCAGTACGCCCACCACCGCTACCACCGCTACCACCGCCACCGCCACCACTGCTTCTAGCGCCTCCTCCCCCTCCTCCGTCGAGCACTGCCATCAAGTCAAAAATTCCTTGCCCGTCGGTGCAAGACGAGCGCGGTGGCGGGGGCAAGTCCAGCCGAGTCCGGCATATCCGACGCAGGGCGGCAGTCTCGTGGAAGCGGACGCAGCGGTCACCGGCGGAGGAGTTAACCAGAAGGAGCCCCGTCCCGGGGCAGGGAAAGAGAATTCTAGCTCGCGGCTGCAGGCGCAAGAGGTGCCGGGCGCCGTTCTTGCACCGAAGCCGGGCGTCTGCTGCGGTGGTGCTCCGGTCTCCTGAGATGCATTTGTGTTGCGCGGTTTGGTTGTAGTTGGGGGAATACGTTGCTCTGCCTTGACTGTATATAGGAGGAGGTGCGTGGGAGATCCATTCATGTCGTACGTAGATGTTCAGAGCTACCTTCCGGCAGCACAATTTGGAGCCGGGTGCGTGTCGTCAGCGGAGTGCTCTTTGCTGTGTCGCCGCCGTTTGTGTCAGCAGCAACACCATCATCAGGAAAACAACATAACGCGATAACCGTAACTCTTCTGAACCAACCTCCTCCCAGAGGCCCGAAAAATTCGCGCGGGACACTTGCCGGCATGCCTTGTTCCCTTGAGTCGGCGCTTACCGGGCCCTGAGTTGTCGTCCAGACCGACACCTTCCCGCCATCGACGGTACCGCTCTCGCGTTTCCGTCCCCAGAGATCTTGGCGATGGATCGTGCGTGATGACCTGAGAAGTCCACAGCGGTCCCCCTACTTCGCTGCTGCCGCCGCCACCCCCGCCTCCCAACGGCCCGGCGGCGTCGTACACTTTCACCTCGCCGTCGGTCATGAGCGCGTAAATGATGCCGGCTTCCGTATCAGCAGCCAGTTCGTATACCTGCATGCGATTGACGTGCCGATGGCAATTCGTGAGTACCCAACTTTGGCGGCCTGAAAGGATGGGGTGGTGAAGAACCTAGGTGGGTAGCCAGCCTTGGTGTCATAAGCTTGTACGTGTCTCGTTGAGGACACTTTGGTTGGCGTTCGAAGCAAGCGTCGCTGCAGAAGACAGAAAATCGTGCGACGCTACCGCCACACCGCAGCAATACTTCTTGACACGTTTACGCAGTGGCAGTCCCCCGTTGGTCACTTCTCTCACCATGCGTGGACTAGGTAAGACCATGAGTCCGGAGACATCTTCGAGAGGATTTAGCGAAATCTCACAAAGGTTGCATAGCTGCGGGGGTGGCAAATGTTTGGTTTTGTCCAACACTTCTTTCTCCCCAACTGATCGATACATTTGCCAGTTTACCTTCCCTACGGCCTCGAACAAGATATTCAGGGAACCGGGATATATTATTTTTCAAACGTAAGCAACAGGCAAGCAGATACGCGAAGAGACTAAAGTTCATCAGCTCCAATAGGTGACCACTATTCGAAAGCTCAAGGCCCACGTCCACAGCGTGCGAAACAGCTTGATAATGCTGACGCAACCATCCAGGAAACCGTCTCAGATTCCCAACAGACCACCCACGCACCTCTTCCCCCTCCTCCCCTGCGCCTCCGGCATCGGTCACGGAAACCGTGGACGAGGGGTTTCCCAACACCTCGGTAGGGTCGTGCGGCTCGAACAACAACCCCTCCACGTCATCCCACCGCAGCCGGGGAGGGGTGTCGAACTGCTGCCTCGCCTTCGACCGTGACCGTTTCCCCCTGCCAACGACGAGCTCGCGCAAGGCCTCTCGCAGCGTAAGACACCCGCTACTGCCGCTAGTGGCGGCGGCGGGTGTGGTAGTGATACGCATCCCCAAGAACTGGACGATGACGGGGTCGGCCATCGCTCGCGAAACGAAATCGTCGGCGCTGAGTGTAGCTGAGGGTGGCAGCTCTTTGGTCGCCGCGGGTCTCACGGCCGCCGTGTCTGTGTCTGTGTCAGCGTTGTCGCCCGTCGAGTCGAACGTCTCCACAAATGCTCTGATATTTGTTTGGGAAGGGGCGTCAACACGACAGCATGCTTGCGGTTGTTTGCGGGGGAACTTGGTTGATCCCGGAAGGGGTCCAACAAGCTGTGTGCTTCCATCAAATTGCTGCCTAAGACGTACATGGTAGTTAGTCGCTTGAAAATGAAAAACGGGGTCTTTCCCGAAGCGGGGTAAATATGTATTGCCAGAGAAATTTCGAAGTTAAATCGAATTCTTCAACATCAACTCGCTTAGTGTTCCTTTGCGTTCTTCAGTATTTCTCTGTGGGACATGATATCGGGAGAGAAAATCGAAGTACGCAGTCGGGGTATCACCCTACGCCTGAGGAGTGTCGTTGAAGACGTCGGGCGAGAAGCGACGGTCGACCTCTGGTAGGACGAAGTGCCCGATGCTTGTTGTTTCTGTGATGGCACCCAACGCATCGCTAAGTTGTTCCCCAATCGTCGTTCCCCAATCTTGCGCCTCAGCAAAACATTCCCCGCTGCCTGAACACTTTGTACACACCTTTGCGTATTTTTCTGCATATCCCCATGCCACAAGCACTGGACAGTCGTCAGCTCCGCCTCAGATGCTTACCTCCGCAGGTGCATCAGTGCCGACATCCTCCAACCCGACGCGAAACCAGGCCCACCGCAGCCACCACCATCACCGTCGTGCGCCTCAGAAGCTGCTTGCCGCGCCATCACGGCCCTCAGGAGAACGAAGTCTCGAATCGAGTAGCGTTTATCTGGACCTGCTCTGTCGAGCTCCCTCCGTCCAGTATCGACCTTGTTAATTAAGTTAGCGGCGAGACAAACACAAAGAGGTTTTCGTCTGCGTCCAGTATTTTGACTGTTGGCTATGTTCGCTAGCCTACAGAAGACACACGCTGTCCCAAGAATAAGCGGTCGCGGTGATACTCAACGCTCTCCAACATCGTTTTCATGCACATACCTGCGGTCGTGAGGTGTGGTTGGCTTTTTTGGTCGCGTTGGTGCTGCCGCGTGTGGTGGTATTCACCTTCAGCCCCGAAAAGAGCCGCTACACTTCACCGCAGGAAAGACAACCGTTTTCGGTTGTTACCATCAACAAGTGAGTATTGGTTACTCACCCCTAGGGCTTTTCGGACGGCCCCCTCCGGCGGATCCTCCCCGTCAAGCGCCGACGACGCTGCCCTCAGCTCCGCTAACGAAACCACCACCTTCGCGCCGATCCGCTCCCCCCCACACCCCGCCGTCGACGCAAACGCGACTCTGAGCAGCTGCATCTCATCTTCGTCTACCAGGCCTTCTCCGCTGGTGGTTGTCCCGTTGTTCCCGCATCTCCGCCGGGTAAGGAGCAAAGGTGACCCACGTCCTGACCCTCTGTTGGATTCCTCTCCCGCGGCTACTCCTTGCCCTTGTTCCTGGTCCTCTTCCTCCTGCTCAACATGGGCGCCTCCTTCGAATGCCAATCGGCCGAGGGGGATAAAAGCGCCGACAAACTCCGGCCAGGTTATTGCCGTTTCTCCTCCGTGCTGATGCTGCTGCAGCGGCCGCCGGTGGAAATCCCCTCCCGCGTCGGCTACGGCATCTCTTGTCTTGACGGCATTGCCCTTGCCTTTCTCGGTGCGATTAGGTTTATTTCCGTTGCTGTCGCTGCTGCGGCCGTCGAACGCTTCGCGGTGGCGGCGGCGGTTGCCGTCAAGCGTCCGGCGGTGGCGGCGACGGTAAATTTCTCTCAGGGCGCGCGCGCCTGCCCGTTCTTCGCCCGGCATCTCGTTGCCCCCCCCGTTAGGAAATGCCAACGCGGCCGCGAGAATCGGGTTGGTTCGCAGCTCAGCGCTGATTTCGGCCGCGGAGATCTGCGCAACAGAAGTAGGTGGACGTGCGGAGGAAGGACGGACATGTTTCGTCGAATGCTACGTATCAGCTCCAAAGGATGGAAATCAATCAGGTGCCGGTGGGGACACTAGGTGCTTCTTTCTACCCGTGAGAGCTGGCTGACTGCTCAGTTCCTCCAAACGTCACCCTTCGCGTGTCCCGGAACATGCTGTGTTATGTGGTGGTCAGGTTCGGAAAAAACAAGGGCCAGTGCACTTTCGTTTACAATGGGGGTCGAGCGGTCAACGGGTCCAAGAGATCAGCTACGCTCTCGTGCTCAAGAAATATCAGCACACGCTCTGTGAAGATGAATAGGAAAAACACGTGCGCGGAAAAACGCACCTCCCCCCACGCAGACCGGCGGCCTATCCTCAAGAAGCTCCTCCTCAGATACTGCAGCGCCAACGTCTCCCGGTGACTGACAAGGGTCGATTTTCCCGACACTGACACCACTTGTCCAATCTCAGGGAAAACCGCAATCCCACGGCCGCTTCCGCTATCGTGCCCGGTGGGGGGTACCCCGCCACCGCGGAGTGGAACCACCGCGAACACGTACTTATGCACCGAGCGCCGCTCGAAGGCACTCTGCGCCGCTCGCGCCGACAGCACGTCCTCCCCAAGGCGAGCAGCATCGTCGATTATGGGGCGGAGGACACTATTTTTCACCATCGAAACTACCTGCATGAATTTCGAATCGTGGACCACGAAAGGAGTACAAAGGTCAAGGTGGAGGGTTGCAATTGTTTTTCCAGTTTCCGCGGTTGCCCCGTGGGCAAGGTCAACACCCACAACAGGCGTTTCTTACCACCACTGCTTCTTTTTGAATATCTTCCTCGCCTGCCGTTTTCGGTAGGCCGCAGCCTCCACCCTCCCGGGCCGGCCATTGACGACCTTCGCGCCCTCCGGGTGGTCTAGCTTGACGGGCGTTTCCAGCACCACGTAGCCCCCCCCAGCCGCCTCTCCTGACCCTTCCCTTGCGGTCTCGATGAACCCTACGACAGCCGTCACGAAACGTCCCTCTTGGCCGGCGCTTGCTCCGGACCCCAGGACCAGCTTGCACCCGGCGCGGAAAATCTGTTCCGAGATGGCGATGCGGAAAAACGATTTTCGCCCGAGAGGTGAAAAGACGCGCGGACGGGGGGTAGTAGGTAGGTGTTGTGCCAGGAACTTTCTCGGGTGAATTGAAAATGAAGCGAACTTTAATCCGAGCTATTGCCAGAAAAAGAAATCACGCAAGGAGACCAGCATCTGCTGCGGTGCCTAAGACCCGCACGAGTATCTCGGAGACTCTGGAGCTGTTTCACAATGACAGACCCCGTAGAGCGAAAAAGTCAACACGGCTAGCATGCTTTCTCCTCAGCCAGCTCCTACGAAAACAAGTTTCCGAGACAGACCAACACCACCCAAGCAACGATACCGTTCTTCTCCTTCCCGAACCGAGACTGGCTTTTTCTTTGCGCGACGCACCTCCGGTCGCGCGACCTCCAACACCGCCTTTCCCGCCGTCACGGCCGTCGAGAGTCTCGTCGCAGCCCCTCCCAAGGCCGACGTAGCGGGGCGGGTCCGCCGCCCTTGCCGTGCAGAAAAGGATCGGCGACCCCGCCGCTGCTGCGCGGCTGCCGCGTTATTGCCGTCGGATGCAAGCGTCAGCCGCTTGTTGATGTCCTCGGCCCACGCAAGCGCCTGCGGTCAAGCAGAATCGTGCAGGCAGCAGCGCCGCGGCACCGGCGACAACGTGTACGATGCCGGAAGGGTTTTAGAGAACCTCAACAAGGTTCCGGCGAGTGCCATGTAGATGTTTCAGCCAAATCAACTCAATTGGGCCAGTGCAGACGGAATGTGTTGTTGTTGATAGATGAACGGGAGAGGAATGTATTTCCGACACCAGCACCAGGTGCCGTTCCTTCCAGGTGCCGCCGAAAACGCCAGCCTTGGCTCTTGGCTCAGCAGTATTGTCATTTGAATTGTGTGGCTTCGGAGTCAGCATTTCTCGTCGGAGGTCTACGCTAGCAAACGCTCGCTCTATTGCTATACGGCCTCGAATTGATCGCCCCTAAAAATCGTCTACACTTGAACAAGACAGTCACCGCTCGGTCGCTAATTCTTAATACACGCCAATGTCGACACACCTGAGCAGCGTTGGTCATGTCCAGTCCCAGCTTCGAAGTAAGATGGCTCACGACTGCCCTGTCCCTTTCTTCCATTCTGGCGAAAGTCAGGGCGTCGCGAACCGGCAAGGCAGACGCCTCCTTCTCCTTCGGAGTGGGATAGAAATGCACGATCACCACGCCACCGGCGGCCAAGCGGAGAGGAAAATGACAAAACATTCGCGACGGAAACGGGTACGATGTTTTCTTGTCAGTGTTTCCGTTGGTGCACAACCTAGTTCCTAATAATTGATAGCCCCCAGTTCAACTCCCCATCTCCGAAGGACCAGTTGATAGACCTTTCAATCAATATTTCCATATCTTCCTATTAAATAGGAATCCCAGCAACCTCTACTACAATGAGGAGATGCTTCAACCAACAACCTATCCTCCTCTACGGCGTGCCACAGTCACCCCCACCTTGAAGGCCGCGACTTCGCCCTCGAGCCTCTCGACGTCCCGGTCACGTTTTTCCAGGGCCAGCTGCGCCGCACGCCGCGACCGTACCTCCCTGCCGAGGCTTTCATTCATGAGTCGGGCCTACGCAGCGGCCGTACAAGGATCAATCAAGGGTTAGGGTTACTCGGCAAACGCAGAAGAGCTGCTTTGAAGTATCTTTTTTCGTGGGGCTAAGCTGGTGGAATTCCCGGTGGGCTCTATGCTACGCGAAACACAGGGTTCTCTACGGTTATGACCGCCGGGATCTTTTGGCGCGGTGTGCAAAACGTTCTCTCGACCTTTGCTAGAAAACTTGTTCAGCGATCTGAGGCAACACCTTACGGCCCGAACCTACATGCTTAGACGCACATGAAGTGAAAGTAAGACTGAAACAAGCTTTCGCTACTAATATCTCAGTTCGATATGTTGTTGCTCGGACGAACCATCGGAAGTTGAAACTGGTCCGACCCTTCGACGCGAGGGGGCAGCCCAGCAGCCGCAAGCAGGCAAAACCAAGTCACAGATATAGAAAACAAAAGGTCTTCCATACCATGTGCGCAAAAAGGGCGAGGTTTGTGATAGAGGAACACTTCAATTTCCATTACACCTCGGCCATCGTTATTGGCCAGCCCGCTCCCGCACCTGCGCTGCCGCCGTTCTCCCCGGTGACTCCGAACGCCCCCTGGCCGATACTGCCGACGCTCCTTCCGTCCCTCCCGAGATGTTGCTTTTCGGCAGGGGCAACGTTTGGTGCACGGCCTTTCGGGACGCGACCGGCCCATTTGGCTTGGTAGCGCTCGCTTGCTGCGTCCCGGTTTTCCTTGGTCCGGGGTCACTGCCGTCCAAAGTCTTCTTGTCGGAAGGGGCGGTGGCGGCCGCCGCTCGGAGGAAAGCAAGCCCGGCGTCAAGCTCGAGCTTTCTTGCGGTGAGGTGGGTGAGGTCCGTGTCCTTATTGTTTCCCGGAAACGGCATTGGGCACGCGAGGGAGGGGATAGTCGTGTCCCTCGTGACCGTTAGTCTTCCCATATGCTCGTGCGTCATCCTTGCAAAGCCGGGGGGGAGCCTATCGAATCTTCAACCACAAATTTGGTAATGCACTAAGCGCGGACTGCCTTGGGCATGCGGGGGAGGCTTGAATGGTGAGATAACTAGAGAGAGGTACGAATTGGGAGAGATCACTTACGCGTATGATAGTTGTTTGTCCACGAACAACTTTGTTGTTCTGTGTGTGTTCGATTCTGCTGCTTTCACCCGCGAGAGGGTAGTGGATTTGACAAAATATACTTTCAAAATTCCAGGAAATCCGTCTCAATTGCACATGGTGTAAATGCACCACTGCTTTTCCGTTTTTGTGGGAGGGATCGGCTTTGCTTTCGCTTCTGGATGATGTTGCTCTGTTATCACGGGCAAGGCCAGCTGGTTTAAATCAATACACCCATTCGAGGGCATCCGAGGGGGGAATGCAAAGCGACTACCTCGGTCGATGGTTTTGACCAGTACAACACATCACCACACCAGAGAGTTCCAGATGTCAAGGGTTGTTTCGAATTTACTTCTGCAAGCGTCGAATAGCGGCACCGCCACCGTCTTCTTCCACACCCCCAACTCGTTCCGCATTCCGTATTCGCCCCGTTCCTTTCTCACCATCGATAGAACCAGGTGGCCATCGGCGTCTTCCCGGAAGCCTAGAGCTACCATCAGCTCCACCCCGCCTTGTACAGCAACTACGTCCCTCAGGAATACCGCGTTTGAGGTGTTGACAACACGGTACTGTCGGCGTGGATAGGACGGCAAAGGCGATGACAGCAACCCGTAGCGGAGAACATGCAGTGAGTCCGCGACGGTTTCAAAAGCTTGGTGGGGCTAGATAGCGTGGTTAGCCTACAAGATGGATGCGACCTGTCCCTCGTTTAATATTTCTTGTTCGCTTTTATTTACCTCCCTTCAGCAGGAACGTGCTGGGAATCTACACCAGGCGATGACGTAGACATCCACGGTTTGTGCGGAATGGTGGCGGGTTCATCCGAGCGGGGGCACCCCTATATACACATGTTAGCCCAGGGAACCCAGGGGCCAAACGGCTGGTACAGTCTCCAACCTTACTCCTATATATTGGTATCGAAAATCGTGGTAGTGCATTTCGCCTCGTGTCGACGCACACTTGCCGCGATTTTGGAAAGCAATCGACCTTTGAACATCTGATATAGTCGAGGGGTGAGACACGTTGATCCCGTCCTTTTGAAGAGCAAGAAGGTCTACTTTTTGATCGTGAGAGAACTTCCAAGTCCGGAATATCAGGGCACCACCCGGGGGAGCTAAATCCGCCACCTTACGCGCGTATCGTAGATTCGGTTCTCCACCCACCTTGCCCATCGTCGGGTGTTCCAAGGCGTTTCCGAGGTATTTCGCGGCGGTTTCGACACACCGCAAGTGAGGACCGGCGTTGCCCGTGGAATCCCTTAACCTTGCCACGGCGGCTGACACCGCAGCGAGGTCGGCCACTTCCGGGTGGTCTATCCCGCGCATTTGGGCCGCCAGCTCCTGGTCGTTTGGGGGTCAAAGGGGCGGGGTTAGGGTCGTCAGCTTGGGGTTGGTTCCGGCTGCTTCTTTTTGCCTCGATCCGCTTGCTTGCGCTTTGCTTCGTGGTGCTTCCTTGTGGCTACTTTTTACGCATATGTTTCCTGCACAAGATGGCGGTCTCTTCCTTTTGCATCTTCGAGCGCCCGGGGGGCATTCGCCACGGAATGGGAGAAAGCAATGTGAGAAACACCCACGAAGGAGGCAGGGGGCACAAAGAGAGTTGGCCACTTCCGGGCGGTGGTTGTCACACAAATAGGTAGGCATCTCCGTCCCACAGCGGAGACTGGTGCTCCCCGTTGGTGTGAAATCTCCGGAGCCAAACGGGCCACGTGGTGTATGGCGTGGACGGGGAACGTAGCTCAATGAGTTGCCTCAATCTTTTGACCAGAGATCAAGCATTTCCCGTTTGAAACAGAGCCCCGACAGCGATACCATCAACGCGCGGGCGTGCTCTTCACGTCTTCTGCTTCGTTTCATGATACACGTGGTTGTGAGTATCGCCGTACACCGCTGACTCCCAGGAGTTTCGTCCCGTTCTCGGCCCTTCATGCGAGACACTGGCCGAGGAACGGACTCTGACAGCATCGTCTGTTGTTTACCTCCACGGGGAGAATAGATAGGCGGAAGAAAAAGGTTTTACCTTGGCGGAGGCATCGAGACGCTGAAGAAGGCTCTCCGGTACCCGGTCCCACTTCCCGCCCGCTCGCCCAGTCTCATCCTGCTCGTTCCTGAGGGCGAGCACGGTACCATTTTCTTCCAGCCGCAAGCCGATCGCTTGCATCAATTCGACGCCCCCTAGAAGCCTGCCAAGTGTGATGGGTGCGTGGGTGTGGGAGAAAGGCGTACTGATAAATAGCCCGGCTTCTGTCTTGCAAGAACAGTCAGACATTCACCCATAAAGTAGACGAGAATCTGTTGGGGGCTGAGCGCCCCCCGCGAAACATGCGTGGTGTGCTGGTTTGTTGATGCTTGTCCATGTCGTGGTTGTTGTTTTCTCCAACACTCAAGCTCGTCTATCAACATGTTTGTCTACAACCACGACTGGCTTTTAGGGCTGTTTTTCTACACAACCATGCCTGACCATGTGGATATCTTGTCGCTAATCAGCCACCACCGAACTTACCTCCCGACCGTCGACGAGAACCTCTTGGAGTTGAGCGGGATCCGCCAGTGCAGCGGGGCCGTCGGCGAGTCCCTCACCCGGCGGCAGTAGTCCAGAGCAAACTCGGCCGCCGCGCGACACTCGGCCGGAGACCCGGATAAACGGATCCGCCCGAACGCCGCGGCCACCTCGCTCGCGCCGTCGTCCATAGCGATGGTTTTTTTCCCAGTGGTAGCCGAGGCGATGGAAATTGCTCCCTGTCGCCTCTGTTGAGGGGGGGGGGGATGAGCGTAAGTCGCTGTGCCGACCACCGCTGGTGCTCGGTGGAAGGAGCGGTACCTATTGTCGGTTGTATGTTTCGTGAGACACAGGGGCTGCTGGCGAATGCCGCAGGCTTGCTTACAGGCAGAAGACTGCGTTCGACCCTGGAGTGCCTCGCAGAACAGAGAACAATAGCAACATATTTGAAGTGTGTAACTGTGGTATTCCAGCTATTTTCCCGAGCGTAAAGCTGCCGTGACAAAGTCATTACAGCGACCAACCAAACGCCCTTACCGTGCTCATGCTGCCGGTTCTCCCGGTGGCGGACGTGGCGGCAACGGATGATGAGGCGGCGGCCCACCCGGGCGTGTCCCGCGGGATCAGGGCTTGGAAGGACGCGACGAACTCGTCGAGAGACACTCGCCCGTCCTGGTAGATGTCTCGTCGACGGATCCACGCCAAAACGCTAGGAAGATTCGGTTCGGGTCAGTGGTGAGCCGTTAGAAGGAGTGGCATATAGTCCACACTGGGTTCGGCTTTACATTGGAATAGGAGGATAACCGTAGGCTAGCTGTTGATGCGATACCACGATGAGACCTCGTGACGGGGAGGCGGAGGGAACGAGGTTGTTGGTGCAATGTAGCACGGGTGTGGCAGATAGTGAATTGATGGATGAACGGCACAGTGGGCGGGACGGGAGGATGAAGTTGATTCGAGACTGGCATCTTTCATTTGGTGGTTGTGCGCCGACGACGGTGAGGATGCTTTGCCCCTTTGGCATGGCACCCAACCATGCCTACACAGCGAACATGTGGTCGTGTCGTCGAGATAGTGCACAGCAGAATAGCAGCTATTGATATCCCACATCGAAACGCGCTGAGTCCGATCTGGTTCTTCAGCGTTGTATCCATCGCACGTATCACGTGCCCCAAATGCCCTGACTGCGTAAGATTATCTACATAGCTTACTCACGTGCGATCGCTTGCGTCCCGACCCATGTTCCGAAACGCCAGCCCCAGATCCGCCGGCGTGATATAGCCGTCCCCGTCCATGTCCAATCGCGAAAACGCCTCCTTGATCATGGCCAGCTGTAGGCCCCGAGCCCCGCTTGCTGCTGCTGACCCCCCGCGATCGGCGGCCGCCAACAGCGCCGTCGCCGCCGCCGCGCCGACGCTCCCCATCCCACCAGCCCCGGACGCCCCACGCGGACGCCTTGACCGCGAGTCTCTACCCCGGACGGTGCTAGGACCTTCGCTCTTTGTTCGTCTACCGGGGGGCTGCTTCTGCTTTCGAGAGAGCGAAGAACCGCTCCGCGGCGGCGGCTCGGCCGTAGAGCTGCGACGCCTCTGTATCGGGCCATTTCTCGCAGTCTCACCAGTACCAGCGGCGATGCCCTCTTCTCCCCCTGCTGCTGCGAAGTCCCTAGAGTCTTGGAGATCCGCGGCAGCTCGCCCCGGTGCGCTCTGCGGCGCGGCGGTGGCGGCTGCGGTGGCGGGCATGGCCTCGATGGCGGCCTCTAGGTCCGCCTTCCTTCGCCACAAGAACGCCTCCGTGGCTGGGTCTAGGGCCGGAAACCGGAAGTTTGCTGTTCCGACCTGTTCACAGCAGAATTTTAGTTTTGTGGGCTTCGGTCCAAATACCGATTTGACCCTTCTCGGTGTTGTTCCAAAGATCGTGCTCCTGACCCACGGGGATACGTCAGGCTGGATCCGGGGAGCCTCCCGAACCCGCACTGTCAGCGGACGTACTTGGCTATTTAGGTTGATATATTGGTTGATTGGTATACTGTCACATCGCCCTTGACGATCACCTTAGGCCCCAAACGCTCTGTCTAACAACATCTGGTGTATCTGTTTAACTGAGTGGTTGAATCGTGGGAAGAGTCACTCTTTGTAAAGAAAATTGGGGGCGGCGAAGTATTCACCAACCGCAACGGTGGCGCTCATTCGCCCCTTGTTATCCGGAGATCACCAAACCCCTAACCTCTCCTGCTCTCAAGAAAAAAAAAACTCACTTCTTCTCGCTCCTTTCCAGCACCTGCCCCCACTTCCCGAAGAACGAACACCGTGCCCCTATCTCGAGGCTCGAAGCCTATTGCCGTCATTGCCCCCTCGCAGCCCCCGAGACGCCCCAGCGCGCGCTGGAACGCGGGATTTCCGGAGCGCACCCGGTGCACCCGAGGGTTTCGCGGGTCCTGGAGGGCGTTGGTGACGTAGGCTAGCAGGAGCTCGGCCGCGGCACGGACGGCGGCCGCGGGGGGCGGGGTGTCCGGAGATGACGAGGGGGACTCGCGCAAGGCGCGGAGGGATGCGGACACGCTGGGAGTACCCTCTAACGCAAGGAGCTCCGCGTCCACCTTGGTTGATTGATCGTCGTGTGAGGTTGGGGTTGGGGTTGGGGATATTAGTGGGCCATGGCTCTGGAATTCCGAATAGAAACGAATATGAGCCGTTCGCGCTCCTGAAGCAGGGGAAGAAACACTGATTTCCCAAACAGACATGGACGGACGTGTTTCACCAACTAGTCGTTAAGCATGAATTTCACATCCTTATGCACAGTGCATGAAGTACCCAGCTTTATCACCTCCACGCATACTTGGCATGTATGTTTTGCGCACCATCGATCTCAACCGCTTAACACAACTTTTCGTGCATGTCTCATGAAGCACGGGGTTCATGTCTTGCTTGATACATGATTTTTGAAAGTGACTTCCGTCCCCTGTGCATGCTTCGTACAACGTAGAGCTAACCCCTTGCTGCGTACTTTACGAAGCAGGACTCACCTCGTCTCGGGCGGCCCGTAGTATCTTCAGCTGCGCGGCTCCCACAGCTTTGATGGGTTTCCCGTTGGCGCCCACCGTGCCTTCCAAGACAAGCCACTGCTTGTGCTCCATTCCGCCGCCTCCTCCGGTGGGAGCAGCAGAAGCAGCAGCCTGAGTAACAATTGGTACAAATGAGAATAGTGCGGACGGGGTCGGTGGGTAATTTCAGCGGTCATTTTGTGTTCGTCGTTCTCGAAAAGAGTGGCCAGCAACTTTTTTTACAAGGAGCGTCTTCGGCCAGCCAACGTCACGGGACGAATGATGATGTGTACGGCCAACACTGTAGGTAGTACGTATCCTCTCCCTGCTATTCCTTCCCTTCCCGCCCCCTCCTCCTTTTGTCCAGCCCGCCTTACGTCCATTCGTTGTCGCCAAGCGATTTCTGTCTGAAAGAGGGACTAAACACCGGCGCTTAATTGAGAACGCACTGGCGACGAACAATGGAGGGAGTTACACCCCCCCCCGCCATTCCAACTCAATCACGGACTTGTTCAAGCCGTCATTGCCGCCGCCGGCACACTTGGCTTCACCTTCTCGGACGAGGATACGCCTCTTGTTCCCAGGCTGTTGGTACTGTCGTTCTTTCCAGCCTCGACTCTGAGTTCGTCGCAGAATCCGACCGCCGCCAGAAGCTCATTTCCCCCCTTATGTCGGCCGAGCTGGTTGTGGGTTTTTCATGTTTGCGAAAGAGGGGTGCACGTCGGCCGCGAAAGCAAAGGGGATGGAGGCCACAAGGTTGGATAGGCCTGCAGGATGGATTGTTCGGTCCCCACCACGTGTCCAGCAAGCAGGTGTTTCAAGCGACCAACGATACAGGCGAAGAGTGGTCGGCATTTCTTCGGTTACACCACAGTAGGCAGGGTACAAGGGAAACGAATACGGGTATGGGTGGTGTGCAGAGTAGAAAGGAGTGATTGGCACGAACATGGACGCTCATACCCGTCCGTGCTGCACGCACACGGGTATTAACATTATTCGCGTGTCCAGGGCATATTCCGGTGGGTGCATCGACCGCACAGAAATGTCTAGGATACACTTGTAGGGCACGGAAATCCTGCGGAGCGCCACGAGCACACAGAAGGGTCGAGTACTGGTTCTGCACTAGCAATTTTCCCGGAAATGCTTCTGTACTTAACCTTCAACCTGGCAAGATCCTTGTAATGTTCAGAACTACACGCTTGTGCCGGCTTTCTTAGGACAAACTTATCCGGCTTATTGTGGGGCATTCCTCAAAAGGTTGTGAAAAATAGTAACTCAGAGGAGAAGGAGGAGTCGCTCTCAGCGTTCCACCATTGCAAGAAGCAGTCAAGCGATATCGAAATTCCAACGGTAAGGGCGTTTCGAATGTCCCACCGCCAATCAATCCGGATCACACCGTGTCCCCCAACATGTGCTACGAGTATCTCAGAACCATTTTCTGCACCTTCGCGAAGAAAGCGTCGTTCTGGGCGTTGATCCTCCAAAACCTTGCGTCCCCCGGAGCTGAAATGACGTTTTCCACGTATCTGTTAGGTGAAACGGTGAAACGGGTGGCTCGGAAGAATCGGAAGAGATGCACCTCGTTTTAACCCAAAGGCATGTGTGGAGAATGGTGGGTGTTTGGCCTTTCTCCGAGTTGTCTTGGGTTTGTATTGTATACGTGCATGCAAGGAGCAGCGAATACCCCAGCTTCAAGAAAAAATGAATGGTGAGGTAAGTACATGCGAACATACTCGGCTGGGTCTATGTGTTTGCGGCAAGCAACACATCGCATGTGTCACAGGTTGTAGACAGAGGATTCAGCCAATGTTGGGCTTTAGATCCCAAAAGCTACGAAAATATGTTTGAAAACTTAAGTCTCTGAAAACTGACTCAAGAGTTTTTTTCCTTACCTAGCAACCTTAGAGGTGCGGAAAAATACTTTTAGGAGCTAGGTGCTTCACTTTGCCAACACAGTATCAAAAAAGGCTTCGTCTCGCATAGTCTTCGCGGTTGCAGAATATTCCATTCTAGTTCGAAACAACACACATCGACTACTCGCCACAATGTAAAACTTTCTTTAGTTTGGCGTGGCCATGCACCTTTTCGCCGCTTCCCCAGCAGCCCGAGCCTCGGCCGGCTGAGCGTGCAGACGCAGCTTGGCGAAAGCCTCCGCCACCGACGGTTTCACCGCGGCCCCGACTCCCTCGAAAACGAATCCGAAAGCGGCAAGAATTTCCGCCAGGGAAGCCGAGCTCGACGGCGCCGGCAAGCCGCCGTCGTCCCCGTAATCGTCCGCAAACGCAACCCGTTGTTGCTGCTGTCGACGCCATTCGGTACCACCTCGACTATTCATTTCGCTTCTTTGTGCCGACTTAGTTTCTGCTTCTGTGGCGCCCTTGTCGCCGGCGGCGAATCCAGTCCGCCCCCTCCTTTCTTGCCGTTGTCCGTGCTGGTGGTCGGTTCTCCCTTCGCCTGTTTTGCCACCGCTGGTATCGGCGATAAATCCTCCGCGGCAAAAGGCGGCGATCTGGGTTGCACATGTTTTAGGATCCCTGCCCACCTTGGCCAAGAACTTTCCGATAACCTTCCTCGGAATCTCCCCGTCCCGGTCCTCGTCGAGCTCTGCGTTTGGTGGAAAAATTGCTTGAGTCAGGCTAGGTTGTGTTGTGTTGGGCAAAGTTGAGATGGGCGTGGTAGGTTGGGTTGGGACGGGCGGGCGCACATATACCGTCCAACGTCATAACTTGTGTTGCGGCTTGTCTACGAGCAATATATTTTGAACCGGGGGGGGGTGGATACGTGTGTGACTTTCACGCGTCAATACAATTTCATCACAAAGTATTGCTGTATTGAACGCACCTTCGAACACTTGTCGCGCCCTCGCCAGCATCGCTGCCTGTTCCCCGGACCTCCCCACGGATACCCTCCTTATCAAATCCTCGTGCTGCTCTGCCGTCCCTACACGTTGCCGTAGACGTAGTACACGCGAAAATCGATCGGTGAAGGCGCCATCGCAGGGGATAGACGCCCGAGTCATTCCAGGTTTTCGCACGCAGGGCGGGAGAAGGATGCTTGGATGATGGGCGTGAAAGGTTGGGTTAGATAGAGTCGTGAATAAAAGTACGCGCGACGTGTCCTGAGCGTGTGCTCTTTACGAGTATGTTACGCCAACGTCGCTGGCTGTTTTCACCTACCCCCCTGACGTTCGGTCGGCAATCTGGACTATGTAGGAGACAATATCAGCCAACTTCGTCGGTAGTATATCATGTCTCCTGTGGCCATCCGAATATAGAGTGCTACCCCGCCCAGGTAACGCGAAACCCAAGAACAGACTCCAAACGTCGCGATATCATGCGGGTCAAGGGTGAACTTCCGAATTACCACGTCATAAGCTTCTTGTATGTTGTGACAGAACCGAAGACTAAATAACCAACAACGACCATGCACGGTCCATGTGCGCACGCATATCTTACCACGTGCCCGCCGGGGCTAACATCTGCACCAAAAAAAATCCGATCAGATGTAACCAGGAGGGACTAGGAGTCGTGTAGAACTCTAAATCTTGAAGACCCCGGAGTAGAAGGGAAGCGCGCGGGTTAGGGTAAGGAATACCATGCACTGTACCTTCCCACTTCTCGGATTGGAAGATGGCCGCCGCCACCTCTGCCACCGACAGCAGCCCTCCGTCTAACCGGCGCCCCACGCCTTGCGAGGAGAGCACAAGGCCGTGCCCGGCCGCAGGGGTTAGCCCCCGAGATGCTCGCGAAGAAAAAGGTGAAGGTCGTCGGCTGCTTTCCAGAGGATCTGTGCGGTGGATGACGCGCATGTGCGACAAGGGGACCGGCGGCGGGGGAGGCATGAAGCTATTGTGTTCTTCGAACGGTGTCAAAGGAAGCTAAACGTTGTCGGTCCCGCGGCATGTGGTGTTCGTGCACTGGGTGGTTGTGTCTCCAGACAGCATGTAGAGAGTTTATCCCTTTTACAGAAGGACCGAGGCCGGTATCTAGCGTGGCAACACACTTTCCATGTGCTCACCTTCTCCTGTCGTGTCGACGAACATAGAATGATACGCGTAGGCGAAATCCGCTAGGCTTAGGGTATCCCCGGGGGCTAGGTCCGCCCCGTCACACCACGCTCGGAGCTCGCGGCGTTGCACGTCATCCCTGCCGAGCTCCTTGAAACACCTCTCGAGATCCCTGACTTCTACCGTAGAACCATCGCCATCGCTCCCGTCATCTTCCACGGCCCACTCATTGAAAACGCGCTCCAAGCGGCGCATTTGTTTCTCCCCGAGCCGCTTTGCCCACCTCCGCAGCTCGGCTTCTTCTCCTATTCCTGACCCGCCGCCCTGTCTCCGACCCCGACTCCGGCTGCTGCTTTTCTCGGGAGAAGGGTACCCGAGCTTCCTGGACGTCAGGCGTTCGCCACTAGTGCGGTTTCCGGCACGTGAGGAGCTTCGGGCTGTTCGCCGCCTTCCCCTTTCTTTTGTCCGGTACGACGAAGAGGAACCAGAGTCGTCATCATGGTTGCGTTCCGAATCGCCGTTGCTGTCGCTTTCGTCCGTGCTGCCCCCACGGTAGAAGACCCATGCGTAGGCCTGAACGAATGCGGGGAAGTCCAATCGGTGGTAGCCTCCCGTTTCACCCCTCCTGCCGGCGCCGTCCGACGCCCGGAGGAATTCGCGCACCTTTATCCGAGCGAGCGGGGAACATGTGCGTAACGACGATGACAACGTAGGGGTAGGGCAGATGTATCAAGAGGCCATTGCCCGTGCTTTGTACGTTCTACTTTCAAGCTACCCTATATGTTAAACCTGTATCTTAAGTTCGGACTACGACATAGCTACTTCTGCTACAGTGGTTGTCAACATCTCCTTCTAAAGAGCGTCGCCCTAACACGCGCGAGCACCGGTGCCGAGCTCAGGGCTGTGCTGTGCACCGCATCCCCCGAAATCACAAACCTCGTTCTCTGTAGCTTTGCCACCAAGGCCTCGAAACGCCCTCACAGTATCTGCGGTCGTGAGCTCCCCGTCTCTGGAAAAGTCGGCCTTGTTGAATTCGCGCCTGAATCGCGCGGACTCCGATCTCCCCAACACCATGTCCGTCTTGAGTACCTGGGCCGGACCGGGAGAAAGTGGGAGGGGGTGCGTCATGCACACGTCTGTGGCCAATCAATAGGACTATTGGCGGTGGGATTTTCTATTCTTCCAAGGCGGTGCAGGGAGGGAAATGAAGGGGAGGAATCCTCTGATGTCTTTGTTGGACCCCACATCGCTTGTTTTAAGAGGGAGGAGCGGGGCGTGACAGTAGTGGGGTCTGGTTGGCATGTCATGGCCCTCAGCGTAGAACAATCAGGCGGATATTCTTTGAGCAACCTCCAACCTCGCTGTCGGAACATCACGTGCAATAACGAGGATATTGATAAATATTTGCGGCGAACTGACGGGGAAGCACAATGCTACCAAAGTAGCTCATCCGTCAGCTATGCAGGGCTGGGACCAATACTGGCATGCCGGAGTTCGTTCATCTTGTGGAGGGGGGAAATGCCATACCTCGTCTTTTTCCCTTTCGAGCATCGACGAGGATACTTTCTTCCGTTCAACGCCAGCCCTTCTCGCCAACTCCTTGGACATGCGTTCCACGGCACGCCACACGCCGCTCCCGGCCTCATCCGGACGCGAATCTCTCCTACCGCGGGAAGCGCTGCGACGGTCTCTACTCCGCCCTCTAGGAGCCGCTGCCGGTGCTCTCACGCACGACTCCGGAACGCCCTCTTCTGTCTGACCATCCGAGTACTTGATCGTACACGTTCCGTCGCCGTGACAGGCCAGCACTTCACCCTCCGCCTAGATTGGGAGGTCACGGGGGACGGCGAGATGTAGGTAAGGTGTACAGTACTACCATGCTTCCACGACTTTCCTGTTGTTAACCCCACCAATGTGCGTGTGCTCGCATGCCGAAGCAACATACGATGCAGGTGAAAGAAAAAGCGAAATCTAAACACGTGACACAGCACTGAATAGGAGCTTGGCAAAAACGAAGTAAATGTTACTTGAGCCACACCCCTTACCGACATGATGCAACACCGGGAAAGCTCCTAAAACCACGATAAAATATACGAGCAGGCACGACGCCACAACAACCAGGATGAAGCAACCGGTACGTCAACTCTTTTGTTTCGCAAAAAAAAGGCCATAAAGGGCGGGCTCACCCAGTTCTGCGTGCGCTTCGGCCGCGAGTACTGGCTTGCCCTACGCCAACACGCCTCCACCCAGCTTCCCCGCAGAAGCCCGCCCCCCTCGTCGGAGCTAGACACTGCTGGTCTACCCCCTCTATCGCGACTCCGGCTCCTACCCCGCCCTGGTTCACCCCTCCCCCGTGCCTTGACGGTGGAAGGTATTTGTGATGAGGATCTTCGTCGCCGAGAATGTCTTCTTCCAGCCACATTCCGCGAGGACTCACTGTCGCTACTGCTGCCGCTGGGTCCAGATCGTCGAGTGGTTCCCCTACCACCACCAAAGCATCGCCTGGTGGCACCGAGGTCGCCACCTCGTGAAACGCTCCGGCTCCGGCTACGAGCTCGGCGGGTGTTGTCGTCGCTACTCTCGTTTCCCTTTCGTCTTTCGCGTGATGTACGGCGGCGGATATTTCCTTGTTCATCGTCTTCAGAAAACAGGTTGTCTATGTCGTCGGATGACCTTCGCCGTTGTTGCGCACCCTCGCTGCTCCTGCTCGTGGTTGTGGCGTTGCTTCTTCGCTTTACCCGGACGTGCGTTGTGGCTACTCGAGCCTCCCTCTCACCGTCGTCGTAGTCAATGTCACAGCTCCCGTCGCGATGGACACGAGATATCCTGCCGGGGTAATACCTACCGCTGCGTCGGTAGTTCCGGCGTCAACTCGAGTCCCCCTCCTGCAGAGCGCCGCCGACATCGCCAGCGATCAATACTTCCCCTCCGCTCACCCTTGCCACTCTCCAGCACTCTCACGAGTGACGGGTCGACCAAGCGCTCCTTCTCACCGTCGTCGTAGTCGATGTCACAGCTCCCGTCGCGATGGACACGAGATATCCGGCCGGGGTAGTACCGGCTGCGACCCTTGTACTTGGCCTCCACCCTCATGCCCTCCTCCAAGCGGTCTCCACTTCCCGTCCGCTCACCCTTGCCGCTCTCGAGTGCTCTCACGAGTGACGGGTCGACCAAGCGCTTCTTCTCACCGTCGTCGTAGTCGATGTCACAGCTCCCGTCGCGATGAATACGCGATATCCGGCCGGGGTAGTACCGGCTGCGACCCTTGTACTTGGCCTCCACCTTCATGCCCTCCTCCAAGCGGTCTCCACTTCCCGTCCGCTCGCCCTTGCTGCTCTCCAGCACTCTCACGAGTGACGGGTCGACCAAGCGCTCCTTCTCACCGTCGTCGTAGTCGATGTCACAGCTCCCGTCGCGATGAATACGCGATATCCGGCCGGGGTAGTACCGGCTGCGACCCTTGTACTTGGCCTCCACCCTCATGCCCTCCTCCAAGCGGTCTCCACTTCCCGTCCGCTCGCCCTTGCTGCTCTCCAGCACTCTCACGAGTGACGGGTCGACCAAGCGCTCCTTCTCACCGTCGTCGTAGTCGATGTCACAGCTCCCGTCGCGATGGACACGTGATATCCGGCCGGGGTAGTACCGGCTGCGACCCTTGTACTTGGCCTCCACCCTCATGCCCTCCTCCAAGTGGTCTCCACTTCCGGTTCTCTCGCCCTTGCCGCTCTCGAGTGCTCTCACGAGTGACGGGTCGACCAAGCGCTCCTTCTCACCGTCGTCGTAGTCGATGTCACAGCTCCCGTCGCGATGAATACGCGATATCCGGCCGGGGTAGTACCGGCTGCGACCCTTGTACTTGGCCTCCACCTTCATGCCCTCCTCCAAGCGATCTCTACCTCCAGTCCGCTCGCCCTTGCCGCTCTCGAGTGCTCTCACGAGTGACGGGTCGACCAAGCGCTCCTTCTCACCGTCGTCGTAGTCGATGTCACAGCTCCCGTCGCGATGGACACGTGATATCCGGCCGGGGTAGTACCGGCTGCGACCCTTGTACTTGGCCTCCACCTTCATGCCCTCCTCCAAGCGGTCTCCACTTCCCGTCCGCTCACCCTTGCCACTCTCCAGTGCTCTCACGAGTGACGGGTCGACCAAGCGCTCCTTCTCACCGTCGTCGTAGTCGATGTCACAGCTCCCGTCGCGATGAATACGCGATATCCGGCCGGGGTAGTACCGGCTGCGACCCTTGTACTTGGCCTCCACCTTCATGCCCTCCTCCAAGCGGTCTCCACTTCCCGTCCGCTC